TAGATTCTATGCAATGCAGACAAAACTATTGCATTCACATAGATTTCGCAAGTTACAAGATTGATGTTGAAAGATTGGATGTTCTTAAACATGAATGACTATTTTAGACGGACTAATGTATATATATCGTTAGCATTAAGTAATCATTGTATGTGCAATTGCTGTTATTATTGAAAATAGGACAAGGTTGAATTCGACGAGCATGTTTGTAAATACTAGTACAATCATGAGTACTATCCTGGACTAGAGATTAACTATAAGGATCGTGACAGTGGGAAAATCTAAGAAAGAAATTGAGCTTCGATAGTAACACATTAGATAAAAGGTTAAGGTTTGTCCTTACTTCGTTAGGGTGCATTTAGAGTATAAACTAGCTACAGCCAGCCCGGATTAATATAGGTACTTTCAAATCTACAGTCAATTGTAATTTTATGTCTTTAGATTTCTTATGGACTTGAAGCGTTAAAAATGTAATAATTCTTTCAGAATTACACGATGGTTACCTTAAACGAGTATAGTTTTTTTTAAACAGCATTCTCTCGACTCACCCTCCTGAAAAGATTATCGCCATTTTATACAATGTACTATTATAATACGTAAAAATCCTTACCTAAATATTCACGTCAATATTTTATGGAAAATTAAAAACTGGTTGCTTTCACATATAGGATATGTTAACGTTGGATATTTATATTACAAAAATCTGGTACTTACTTACAATTGCATTTACCTTTACAAATGCAAAGGTAACAACAAAATATGGATGTTTTCCTAATAACACGTCAAAAAGCAAACATCTGTTTAGTTACTTGTTATCTGATTGTAGCAAATCAGCTGTTTATGCACACATTAAACACGTTACCGCAACCAACTAGTGAAATATTATTATCAACTACTTGGTTTTCTATTTCCAATTGTTGAACTTCTGAAGGCCATAGGATAAGGTTAACTAGTGTTGTGCGTTTTCCTATCACCTTCAGGCTAAAATACGCGTAAACTGGATCAAGACAAGATTTCAGAATCGGTTTAGTATCTACTTAATATTCTAAAAGGGTTGTTTATCCTTGTTTATTTGTCAAAATACTGTACCACTGTTTTAATGAAACAATTCTTATAGCCTAGGTAGGCCTAATATGTTTTAGAAATAAACACTATAAAATGTGTATCAATTTGAAATTTTTAACAATCATTTTATACATTTTTTCACGCAAGGAATATGATACTCTTTTTAGTTTTTTGTCTAAGGAATATGTCGAACTTAAGTCACTAACAAAACTAAAAGATCTCGCCACTCATCCTACACTTATTTTCCATTCACCTACTTAAAATACCTCTACTTTGTATGGTCGCCATTTCAATGAAAAGTATAAAAAGTAAGTATACGGAAGTAATGATAAACCATTGACTTTGAATGGTATTATCAATTGAGGTTAGACATATATTTATGTAATATGGATTTAAACAAAAACACCAATTCATTTCAATTTTATTTAATTTAAAATCTACTGAATTCATGTAACCGGTTGATCAACCCCTTATGATCACACTCCACGATTAAAAAGCGTATTTTTTGAAAGATTAGTATTCTAGACTTAAAAATAAAATATCTTGACCTCTGTAAAAGATTTACTGTTAAGTGGCCAACAAGGAAGTGCCACTTCGTAAGATTGCCGTTTACTAACTCGGCGACTTGGCAGGTCGTCTAGTGGAGGACGCAGTTAAAAATATTATGCGTCAAGAATACTGTATAATTAATAAGTAAATACGATGGTAAATTGATAATTCACAAACCAACAATGAGTTTGATTCGAGAAACGATATTCATCCAATATACACAGAGCGTTTATAGAAAAAAGTTACACTTAATGATCCCCCCATAATCTTTCCTTGTAACATAAATGTTTAGGCCTACTAAAAACTCCTCATGAAAGGGTGGCTACAAAGATTTTAATCAATAGCAGTTTTATCAGCTGATTAGTTTATATTGTTGCTTGACAATAACAAATAATTGACGAGTTTCATTAGAATCGTTATGGAAGTTATTTTAAGCGCAGTTTGTGAAGTGTTTCATTGACACCAAGTCTCATGTTGTTGTCCACTCGGGATTTCGGGCAAGATACAGAAGGAATCCTCCTTCAAGACATACAATTAGGGATTGAGAGTATAAGTTTATGAACACTGGCAATTTGCATCACAAATAATCCTAGTCCAAAACCACATTAAAGTTTGGTAAACTCGTTATAATGCACTAAAACCTTGTAATTAGGCCTATTTCCTAGACTTTGATTGTTATTTCTTAGCGTGCAGAAATAAATGTTTTATGGTTGGTTTGAAGTTGTAAAGTTGTTTTATAAACACCCAGGGCTAAAACCTGGCTAGCCCCTCAGGCACTTATTGTCACTGTTTTAGCAGGTCGGACTGTAAAGGCACTGTCCACCAATGAAACACAAATGAAAAAAATGGTTAAAATAAAACATCTTGAGGCAATCTGAGTTTTAGTCGGAGTCTCTGGATTTCAGAAGGTTGGCCTGTGTTATAAAATCCAATGCTGCTGGTTAATGGAAGTTTTGTAAATAATTTTAAATGTAACTTTCTTGATGAAATCTTCTATAGGTTTTTTATTCCCAGTTCTAAATGTATTTGACAGGTTCGAAAATACCAGGGACATTTTAGAATTATCCTTAAAACTTTATTAAAAGAGTTTTAGAATGTAGCACGAATACTACTGGAGAACAGACACAATGGATCATGAACATAAATAAACGGTATCAGCATTCTGACACATACTTTCTCCCATAAGTTTGTCAACAACTTTTATCATGTGTAAGCGGTGAGAGTAAATATACGGAAATGGGATTTGTACAATTTTGTTCAGAACTTAAAGGAATATAACATGTTAAATTTTTATCAAAATCGTTCGGGCCATTTATGGGAAAATCCGATTTTTCTGTTATTTAATGGGGGTTTTATGGGAAAATGACATAATTTACAATAACTTTTGAACCGTAATTTTTACAGAAATGGGATTTGTACAATTTTGTTCAGAATTTAAAGGAATATAACATGCTAAATTTTGATCAAAATTGTTTTGGCCATTTTTGGGAAAATCCGATTTTTCTGTTATTTAATGCGGGTTTTATGGGAAAAATACATAATTTACAATAACTTTTAAACCGTAATTTTCACAGAAATGGGATTCGTACCATTTTGTTCAGAATATAAAGGACTATGACATACTAAATTTTTATCAAAATCGTTCGGGCCATTTTTGGGAAAATCCTCTTTTTCCGTTTTTTTATGGGGTTTTATGGGAAAATCCCTATCAAAAATAAAAATTTTCAAAAAAATTAAAAAAAAACTATTAAAATTGTAAGGACTAACATACTATGTTAAATCAAAACAGTATTTTTTTCTAAAATCCTATTTTTCGTTAATTTATGGTGTTTTATGGGAAAATAACATATTTGACCATTACTTTTGAACCGTAATTTTTACAGATATGGGATTTGTACCATTGTATTCAGAATTTAAAGGGCTACAACATACTAAATTTGTATCAAAATCGTTCGGGCCATTTTTGAGAAAATCCGATTTTTCCGGTTTTTTATGGGTTTTTATGGGAAAAATCCCCATTCAAAATCAAAATTTCAAAAAAATGAAAAAAAACGCCTGGAGATACCATAGATTAGACCATACATACCAAATTTCATCGAAATCGGACCACAGGTGTAGTATCTAGCTCTGTACACATCCAGACACACAGACACACACACACACACACACACACAGACATCACTTCGAAAACCACTTTTTTGGATCCAGGGGGACCCAAAACGAATATATCCACTCAAAACTCAAACTCGAAAATTTTGACGAAAACAATACTTTCTCCATATACTATGGTATAGGGGGAGAAAGTAAAAAATATGTTATAGCCTGGAAAGTAAACATTAACATTGCCTAATTGGAACTGTAAACCCAGCATGTGTCATTTGTACAAGATTCGGGCCAGTTACCGGTACGTCATTTGTTTATGTTCATGTTCCATTCCGCTTTCTGTTCTAATATTTGGTCTGTGGTCTGCATAAAAAATGTATGAAAACAATCTTAAAAACTATTAATTTCAAACGTTTTTTAATCTGTTTACCACGCTCTTAAATAAACCACTTGCAGCATTTTTTCATAAACAATCTTAATGTAGCCTACTTAAGTTTACAATGCAACGTTAATTTTAACAATGTTTGGATTAAAATGTTTACGACCGTCATATAGATAAGTAAAGACGAACAATGTGTAGGTAGTAATTGTAATGTCGTGATTTATCTTGAGAATATGCTAGACTACTGGAAAGCTGTAATAGGTGGCAATTGTTGGGTAAATTGCTGTTTGCTGTCGTGAGTTGAGTTGAGAAACATTTAATCATCAAGTCAACTCGAACTGTCCCGTTACTTGGGGATACTTTTACTACCTATCCGTTCGTTTTCTTGACATGGGTTTACCTTGGAATTTATCAATGAGAGCACATTGGATATCTTCTTTGTTATTGCTGCGAAAAATCCTTCTGTTATTTTTTTCAAATGTTGAACTAAAACATTGCAATGGAGTCTAGCAATGTGAAGTGAATTTGAATGAATTGTGAATCATATCGGATGGAATTAAAATAAAACACACACACAAAATGTTGATAAAACTTAGGCTACTTGGTCTTCGTTGCCTCCGCATAGAAGAAATTGTGGATCGTGGCAATAGTCCATAAACTTATTTAATACATGTCCGGAGATTTAGTTGTAAAATAATCTTGGACTAATAAAAATTCTACTTTTAACCTATCACATCCAATTTTTATTTGCACTTACCACGCTACATAAATTACTTCAACAATATTTTTTTCAGGCCTATATTACTGGATAATATGTAATTTGAGAGAAAGATAAAAGAGCAATATTTGTAGAAGATTTTCTTAAACACGTTTAGTCAATGAAAGTTTTAAGTTTACTCACCCATGGCTAGCGGCGCGGTCCGTAGAGTCCATGGTTCACACACAGACGGACAGCAGACACAGACTCCGCGACTTTCCCCGCCGCACTACACCGCGCATGCGCTGTAACTGCGCCACTGCGACCTCAACCTTTATCCCAGTGTGGCAGAGACAGAGACACAGACTCCGCGACTTTTCCCGCCGCACTACACCGCGCATGCGCTATAACTACACCACTGTGACCACAACCTGTACCTCAGTGTGGCAGAGGCAGAGACACAGACTCCGCGACTTTCCCCGCCACACTACACCGCGCATGCGCTATAACTACACCACTGCGACCACAACCTGTACCTCAGTGTGGCAGAGACAGAGGCACAGACTCCGCGTCCCCACTCCTTCCAGTTTGCGGGGAATGTAATTTGTTAAATAGCACAAACTAATGCTGTTTTGAAATAGGGTACTAAACTAAGACACCAAAATGATATTGATATATTGAGTACTTAACAGACTATATTAATTACAAAAAAAAAAAAATTAGCAAAAAACTTAAATGGTAAGATATTTTAGTTTTTTTTAAGCATGTTAAAATTAAAGAGAGCTGTTGTCTACTAGTGATGCTGCCACAGAAGTAGACAACAACCACCAATAACTTTGCACATAGTGAAATCCAATGCAGCTCAGTATTTCAATTCAAATGGTCCAAAAAGGAGAAAATAAGTGTACTATGTGTACTGTATATAATAATATAATTTTATAATAATATTTAATTATATTGACTTAAGTGGTCCAATGCTGGCCATAAAATAATAATAATAATAATGTGTACTGTATAAGTGTAGTGTATAAGTGTCTATACAGTAAAAGTCTGCTAATCCGGCAGCCAATGGTCAGACAATTTCATCAATCCAATACTGGTGTACAGGACCAAACATTTTGTGTATATGCTGTTTTACGCAATTTTTGGCAGAGTTGGGTGTGATTGGTGGACATAGAAAGCGATTAGAAGACGTTGACCGCGAACGGCAGACGTCAAGAACGATCGGCATTTGTAGGGTGCAATTGGAAGACGTTGGGTGCGATCGGAAGACATCGTGAGCCATTGAGTGCGACCGAGAGACATCGGGAGTGATCAAAAGACGTTGGGTGCGATCGGGCGGGTGTGATCGGAAGACGTCATCCGCGATCTGATGACGTCATGAGCGATCGGAAGACGTCGGGCGTGATCGGAAAACGTCGGGTGCGATCGAAAGACGTCGGGCGTGATCGGAAAACGTCGGGTGCGATCGAAAGACGTCGGGCGTGATCGGAAGATGTCGGGAGCCATCGGATGCGATCGGGAGACGTCGTGCGCGATCTGAAGACGTCGGGCGTGATCGGAAGACGTTGGGTGCGATCGGAAGACGTCGGGAGCCATCGGAAGACGTCGGGTGCCATCAGAAGACGTCAGATGCGATCGAGAGACAGCGGGTGCGATCGGGAGACATCGGGGCAAATCATGTAATAAGCTATCATTGTAGGTCTCATAGTAAGTCCTAGATAAGGGACCGTTTTTTTTTTTTCGTTTTGATGTCTCATAAACGCCAAACTCCCATCCGTTCAAATTCAAATATAGACTATGCATTCTGTTCGTTAGTGCAATAGCTTGAGTAAAAATTATCTGATTTTGATGAAATTTGGCTACAACTGAAAACTTACATTTATTGGAACAAGTTCACGAACCAGCATGTTCGAGTTATGGGAACTATGATGTTAGAGAGATTTATGGAATAAAAATTGGTTTTCCCCACTTTTCTTTTATCCCTTTACTTCCCATAGTATCCTTTTGGATACTTAATATTTCTCATTTTTTTACCTCTCTGTAAGTAGAGATTTGAGTCTATACCTCTATGCATTTTGTTTCTAGGCTTATTAGAACGGGTTTTTAATTTTCCTAGTGTTGGCAAGCCTGGAAAAGAACAAAAATATAATTTCAAAGTGATGCAAACCAGGTTTTGACACATCATGAAATTTAAGATTTTCAAGATAAGATTTTTTGTGTTTATAATTAATAATGAAGCTGGGAAAAATTATATTTCACTTCTTTGCACCTTTAGCTACTGAAATATATTTAGAATTATAGTTTTCTGTTACTTACTTTTTATATATTTGGTATAAAATAACTGAATCCAAATGGATACTATGGGAACACAGAGTATGCTGACAATATTCAAAGAGTCCTCTGTGTTCCCATAGTATCCTTTTGGATACAGGTTATTTTTAATAAAAGCTATGGTGTGTCGTCTGTGTTCCCATTGTATCCATATGGATACTGTTTTCTTTTGTATTTTCTTTGATATAAGTCTGTTTTTTAGTCTGCACAATGATAGGCCTATAAGTGTTATAATGCTTGTTTCAGTCCGATATTATAAACCATGATGAAGAAATTGTTGAGTGGCTTATGATGCCATCTAGTGATATTGTAGTAAAGTTTTTTTACATAATATGTCTATTTGTACTCATTCTAAATGAATTTGTTTTAATTGATGAACAAGTAACTTATTTTTCAATTTGATACAACTTTTAAGAAACTTGTATCCATATGGATACTATGGGAGTGTCAAAGAAAAATTAAAATTATTAACGTGTGAACAATGGTACTTAAGGTTTCCATGGTATCCATATGGATACATATTTCTAACTTTTAATTCTATGAGGGAAAATTGAAAAAAAAACACATTTTTAGCCTTAAAATACAAAAAATAAAAAGAAAATGCACAATAAAAATGTGTGTTATTAAATTTCATAATTCCGGGAAGTAAAGGGTTATGGAGGTCTTAAAAAATGTAATGATGGATTGGTAATGTAATGTGTATGAGTTGCGAAATGTGTATATGAGTGAAAATTTAAAAACGTACGTTTTCATGTCCCTGGCCTTTTACTTCGTAGATACTGGATTTGTAGTTTATTATTATGTGTTTTAATATTTTTTGGGACGGGGGCAACATGTTACACACATTTATTTGGTTTTAAATAGGTTCTAGGTATTTTTTTCGTATTTTTAAAGTCTCGAAATTCACGACCATGACGTGTCCCTAGGGTACATTTTCCAACTTTCACGCTGTTTTTAGACTAATTATTCATGCCGAAATATATAAAGCCATATTTTTATGTCATCAATGGTTATTAAACTTACAAAAAAGGAGCATATTATAATTTTATTGTCATTGCAGACTGACTACCATGACAAAATAAGTCTGTCCCTCGATTTGGCGTCACGACCATTTGGGAAAAATTTTCAACTTTGGAGCACGACAGTGGCAAGCCTGGCGTCGATGGAGTCAGTTGGTTTTAGAGACTAGTTCGGGGTGTACGTCAGGATTGTAGTGCCGGTTGTTTTGAGTTGAAAGGAGGAATTACAAGATTAATAAAGGAAAGATTGTGTTTTTTGTAATTTTGGTGTGTCCATGACCGTAGGTAGCCATTCGATGAAGTAGACATGGTGTTAATTTTTGTTTATAAGATATTTCAATTGCTAGATTAACCTAGAAGTCCACTTTGTATCCTCGAACATGAGGTGCAGGGCTACCGCCAGAACAGAGCCAAATAACACATAATTTCACGACCAAAGTTTCACGACCATCGCGGTTTTTTTCACGACCAATCCAGCCTTATGGATTATAGTGTGTTTGGTCGTGACAATAACTTTAGTATAATTGTAAATTGAACAGTTTAGTTCAATTGAAACACATAGTTTTATTATAACTAACAGTATAATTGAAGGATTGTTTGGAAAGATTTAGATTATTCCAGACAATTCACGACCGTACCGCTTGTCCCTGACCATCACGTTTATGATTTCTATCATAAAAATTTCAAAAATTAAAATATCGTCATATTTAAATGTTTTATACACAAAAGAAGCACACCTCTATACAAACATAACGATTTTTCGGGTCTCAGGTAAGTTTTTTCGGAGTAATACAAACTTAAAAAGATTTTATTGGCTTTTTCCTATTTTTTGAGTTTGTTTTATTTTTTTCTAAAAAGACCAAATATACCAAAAGCTCAGTGACCTTTTTATTGTATAATGGTCATAAAAGTAAACTAGTTTATAGCAAAACATAGTTATAAAAATAATATTAACTATTTTAAATATTCATTTAAACGTCCGTTATGGTCGTGACAGGATTTTGTGTTTTTCTACTAAAGATGCTCTTTAAAAAGAAAACTACCAAAGATATTGCGTTACCATGGACATTTTATGAAACTTCAAATGTTAATGAAATAAAAAAAATAATAAAAGTTTTGAAAAAAGGGGGAAAAATTTGCAAAGTGCTTTTCCTGAAAACGTACGTTTTTAAATTTTCACTCATCTAGTGCTTTTTGACAGAAAGGTTAAATTGAGGAAAATCTTGTTTAAGGTTAAAAATATTTGTAGTTATTACTCTTTGCAGTTTTATTAAACCAAATATTTTCTTCTCCCTATAGTATACAATTAAGTAGTAACATTCACAGACTTCACACAGACCTATGTACACATTTACAAATACACTTTTTTACGATTGGTGGATTAATTATCTTGTCTCATTTGGTTTATCATCATAACCTCTATTTTTATAAGTAACAGTGGAAATTTTTGGATCCTTGTCAATGGCCCAAGACTGACGTTCTCCAGAAGCAAAGATAGCGTAGAACAGAGCACCAAAGAGGTAGATGGCGCTGGCTACGTAGAACACTAACTTCCACTCCTGTTCTGTCTGTAAGAACAAAAAAATTAAGGAAAATAAACAATTTTATTTCAAACAATGGCACACAGTTATCTGGACAACTCAAAACTAAAAATACATCTTAACTGGATAATTTGACATTTAGAATATTTGGGAATTTCATTTCTTATAGCGGTAGCTTAGCATTTACCACTACACTTCTTGAATACACTCTTCTGTGCAGAGATAGATTGCTCTAAATAAATAGTTTATACAATTGACAGGCTAGTGATTAACATTGTACTATTTCCAATTCTAAACTTGTAGTTTCAGTGGTGGTTCCAGGGGGAGATTGTTGGAATGGATCCCTTTCCTCGAAATATCAAGGTGGACCCTGGGGTGGACCGATGCTTCTAGGTGTCAAACAAGGTAACTCACATGGTTCTCCCTCCCTTGAGGAGTTCTTGAGATATAACTGAGTACAGTATATTAAAACTTTTAAATTTTACCGGGTATGAGGGGGCACCCCTAACCGCCCCCCCCCCCACCCACACCGCTGTGCCTTTCGTTAACTCACCCTGTTGGTGACCAGGTAGCCAGTGAGAAGAGGGCTCAGTATACCAGGCAGAGTTGCAAATGTGTTGGACAACCCCATAGACAAACCTGCATGTTGGGGCGCAACGTCTAGATGGTTGACACTGCAACAGTGGAACTCTAAGTGTAACTGTATAATTGATGTTAATAATGACTTTATTTTCACAATTAGGAAGAGGTGGGAGAGCTTGAATTGTGTCAGCAGTGCCATCTTAATAAAATTGCTCAAATCAGTCAACTTGGTGTGTAAAATGATTATAGAGGCCTAGTAACCAAGTGTAGGTGGAGAGAATCAAAATGATTAGAATATTAAATTTAGCATCAGGCTGAGTAGTACCAAATGATAGTTGGAAGAGATTTTACCTTGAACTATTTTGTTCTTTGTCAATCTTGATGAGTCTTGAGGTTAGATATTGAGATTTATAGTGAAAAGAGAGGAATACTTTGATAGAGAGAAAAATCGCCAAAAAGTAATTAAGAGTAAAAATAATTGAGTACTTAACCTTTTATTTCTTCAACATCAACACAAAACATTAAAACCAACAATTATACAAAAGCACATATGTTCATTTCATAAAATTCCACAAAGTGTTGGAGACAGACTAAAGGCAAAATAATTCAATAGAATACTTAACATGGTGTATAAAATAAAAATTGCACAATATAATATAATTTTTCAAATTCAAATCAAAGGAGATTTGCCTGGTATGATTTTCAAAAGTCTTTTTTAAGTATTGTTCATTCCTCATAAGAGAAAGAATAATTTGTCTTGATAAAAATGTATTTTTTACCAACAATGTCCTACTCTTGTACGTCATGTTCAAAATAATTGTTCAAATTTTTGTTCTAGTTTTAGTAGGTTTATTGTATTTTTCCACAGCTTAATGTTTCTATGTGATTCCTTTTATTAAGAAAATATAATAGTTTTAGTACCAAGCTCACCCAAAGGCAGCCCAAGCAAAAGCCCCAAATCCAATACCGAGTACAAGACAGACAGTAATGGAAGTAGGAGTCTTCATATGTCCTGCCAAAAACATGGACACCGTCTGGCAAAGAAATGCTGAACAGCAGAAAATCTTTCGAATCTGTAAAAAGTAACATCATAGGTTTCATCAGTTCAAATGATATTGAAATCAGAACTAATCACAAAACACAGTTTGTTTGGGATAAAAAAATTGAGTAAATTTCAAATAGCAGAATATGGAAAATATAGTCGTAATAATTCTCAAAAAATCACATTCCGCTTACCTTTGTTACAGACAAGATCTTGGAGTTTTGAATAAAGTCTGACAGCCTTCCTGAGAATTGCAGGATTGAAGCTACAGCGAGGTATGGCAAGGAGGATATGAATCCTGCTTTTTCAATCTCGAAGTTCAATGTTTCTGAAAATTGATGGATGCAAATAATAAATTACAACTTAAACATTCAAAAATGTAATAATACATTTTCTGAATGTGAAAACCCCCTTAATACTGCAAAACAATCAGCACTAGTGCTACAAGTAAATTTTAGATGAACAGATCTTTGACCAAACACTAATGGTAATGGTAAAACGCCAGATTTTCCTAGGCACGGAAGTGGAGCAAGGAACGCGTAGATTGGAGTGCAGAGAAGCGATTTCATTGGCGGTCCCCTCCATCTCTAGGAAAACAGTACCATTAAATTACTTAGGACAAGCGGAGAATGGACATCGCTCTCCGCTTCCAGGCCTAGGAAAATCCAGCTTAACTGAAAAGTGATTATAAGAAGTGCATCTATAAGTAAAGTTGAATCTTCAGAATGTTTTAAAGTTGCCTATCAAATTTGAATTGTAATTAAATTTTTAAATTTTTTTTGAGTAGAGATAGAATTGTTAAAATTAATTGATTTGACTCACCTCTCATAAAAGTAGGAAGCTGAGTGATGAGTGTATAGTAGCCCCAGTTTTCACACGTGTGTGCAACTACAATGGCCCAAACTGGCATGGAGGTGAGAATCTTCCCCCATGGATGGTGAATCTGGGGCAAATATAGACGCACGAGTACAAATAGTTTGTATCGAAACTAAATACTTCTTTGGTAAACATAGAACAGTTACGCTATCGTTTTTCTTTGGGTATGTAAAATACAATGTATTAATTTTATTTAAGCGTCTTCATGAATAAATACTGACTTGTAGATTTTTTATCTCTATCGTGAGGATTATCATAAGGACAATTTCATTTTTGTCCATTGCCTAGAGAGGTTTTGGTTATTCGGACATTTTTTTCTGGGAGAATCCTAAAAAAAGTGGGATTGGCTTAAAATCTCAAAACATGCAAACTGCCTACCTTCCCATTCTCATCCTTGTTTGAGTGGTTGCCAATGGAGTTTTCAATGTAAGTGAGCTCCTCGTGTGAGATTTTAGGATCAGTCCGTGGAGATTCGTTGACTATGATGAACCAGAAGGCGCACCACACTAAAGCAAGAACTCCTGAGATATAGAACACTGCTTCCCAGCCGAGAGTGTCAGCTATAACCCCAGCAGCAGGCATCGTCACTACTGATCCGAGGAAACTCCCGGAGAAACCGATGGACGCTAAAGTTGAACGTTCTTCTATTGGAGCCCAATGAGCCCATACTTCATGGATACAAGGAAACGTCACTCCCTGCGAGATAGATGTCAATGTTTAAATGCAAATAGATCCATATACAGTCCACTCTTGGTAATTCAAACACTTGATAATTCAAAACTTTCGATAATTCAAAATGAAGGCTCAGTCCCTAGAGAAACTCTCAATATTTCAAATTTTTACCATGCATTTTGATACACTCGGTATTTCAAAGTCCAAATAGAGGGCAGGTCAATTTGTAACACGCAGTAATTCAAAGTTTTGTCGGAAAAACACTCTATAATTCGAAGTAACTCAGTAATTCGAAGTTCGTCGATTGACACTCTATAATTCGAAGTCATGCTGTAATTTGAAGTTTTGTCAAAAAAACATTCTATAAATCAAAGTCACGCAGTAATTCGAAGTTTAGTTGGCAAAACACTCTATAATTCGAAGTGATCTCTTCCTGTTATAACAGGAAACTATACAGTTCAGTACATCCTGTTCCCATGGTAGGCTAGTGTTGGACGTTTTGATGTTTGTTTAGTTAGAGCAGTAGTCTGAGTTAGTTCGCTGACTTGTTTTTCTAAGTTGGCAATCCGATCTCTAGATTGCGCGACATCTCCTTGAGCACAAACGTAGTTGTCGACAGCTGATAGTTCAGCTATTGGCAAAATATATAGCGCTAAATAACAGATTTCTTTGCAACTATGTACATTAACTGAAAAGTAAGCCGTTGATTGTTTAAAAGTGTACTAAAATACGGTATGATGTTTTATTGTAACGTGCTGTACCTTTGTATGTATTAAACAAACTAACTCTCTGTAATTCAAATGGTTTATTTTTCTCCCGATAAATCAAACTCTTGATAATTCAAAACTCTTGATAATTCAAATTTATATGCTTGGCCCACCAATTTCGAATTATCAAGAGTCTACTGTAGATGTTAAATGAATAACCAACCACTCTTGAAATTCTAGTGTATCAAAACTGCTGAATGCTAGAATAAGGCTGTGAAAAATTGATTCCATGGCCATTAAATTAAATCAAATGGCCATGGAATTAAATAATCTATTGTATACTTATCATTTTTAACAGGACCAGTTTTGATCTCTTTTATGTGTGATTACGTGTCTGAAAACACAAGGTTATGTTGTCTCCTGTGGTTTTTCTTTCCGTTTAACTTTTGAAGTATTTAAGCCATCCAAAAAGAACCCAATTGTAAATTTATGCGTGTCATGACAGGATCGCAAAACTTCGCAAAAGGTTATTTATGGGAAATGTCTGCAAAATCCCTTATTTAAAGGGAGGTTATGCCACCTAATATTTTTTCACATAGCCATTCATCTCACAATTTTAATTTTTTTTTCTTGTAACTCCATTTACATCACATTTTCACCTCATCATATCTCCTGTCATTTATTTATTTATTGGATTTGATAAAAAATGTTATGTTTGGACGCAACTACAGTCGACGCACAGGCTCGCTGCCCATGTCGGCTTATTCCCTATTAGCATGTACGGTTTTTTTTTTAACATAGATGTAATGTAAAGGTTAATTTTATTTTATTCTTTTAAATTCACTTATGTTTTTTTTCTTCCTTTATATATTTGTGTACATATTCTGTAAATAATTTGTTGGAATAAAGAAATAATTCATTCATTCATTCATTCGAGGTGAATATAAACACTTTCCATAACTCAAATTGAATTTAAAACAAAGCAGGGAGGATAACAATTACCGGTACCAACAATAACTATAAATATTATTACTTTGAGCATTCAATCTTCTGTACCAACCTCAAAGATGCCCTCCATGGCTCTGACCACCAGCAGTATGATGACGTTGGTCTTGGCCAGTGGTGGAGATATGAGAGTCAGTAGTGCAGTTACTAAAATTCCGATTCCAAACACTCTGGCTCCTCCATACCTAGAGGCTAACCACCCTCCTAGTAGCTGGGTGAGGATGTATCCGTAGAAGAAGGAGCTCAGTAGGATTCCCTCTGATTTGGAGTCTGATGCAAAGTCTTGCCTCTGTGCAGAAAATCAGCTGTAACTTTCAATCAACGGATGATATGTAAATGTAAAATCTTACCCTAAGTGTCAATTATCCAACCTTAAAATGGCTGTCTGCAAAGGTGGTTAAGCGAAATATGAAAATTATTGCAAACCTGTTAAAAATCATAAATAAGTCAACGTTCTTTGTTGTAAAACATATTTTTGGCTTTAAGTTTGTCACTCATTAAAAATTACAAACTTTTCCATTTCTAATCCATAGTCAAAAATTACAAAAAAAGTTACAAAGTAAAAGCACCACTACAGTAATTGTAGGATGAAAGAAAGTGAACGTATGTTATTAATTGAAAAAGAATATACTAGTTCGCTTGATGTACTTACTTGAATGACTGTACCATTTGCAAGGGTGACATTGTAAGCTGACGTCATCGCTACTATAGCCACACTCAGGTTTACGCGGAGACTGTACACGTTGACAAATCCAATGAACACAAGAAAGGTGACAAGATAACGACGCCTCTTCCAAAACATCCATCTGGTGATCAGAAAAATAATGTTGATCCTGTTTTAGGGTTTTTTTTTTCCAATGCCAAACGACATTACACAAATTTAATAGCCTCAAATAATGGCTGATATGGATGGAAAAGGAAGAACTCAGGGTGATACAGAAGATAAAGATAGAGGATGAGACATTTTTGGTGCGGCAATTTATACTATTATGGTCCTCTTAGTAAGGAATTAATGTAAAGTACACCTGGGTAGAAAACAAAAATTCCCCCTTCCCTCTTATCCAGTTCACAGGCTAAGACTTCCAGAACTATCAATCGTTTGTGGCTGCCCATGTAGCACAGATGGTTGGGCCAACGTTGGCCAACTGTGGGACAGTTGGTCGATGGTTGGTTGGAGCTTCCACAACCAACCAACCGTTGTCCAACTGTATATCTCGTAGTTGGGCCAACCAATATTTACAACTGTGGACCAACATTGGTTCATTGTTAATGAAATACATTAATATGCATTGCTGGGTATCATACATCAAGCCAACCGTTGTCCAACCGTTTTTCACTCCGTTGGACCAACAAAAGATACTTTTGTTGGACCAACGATGGTCCATAGTTGAGTTTACACGACTTTCATTCTCTGGGTCTAGCTTTCACAACATAATTATAAATAAAATATCTGGTATTACAATACCTTTATCAGTTCCAAAAGTTTGCAAAAGTTTTTGGAACTGATAAAGGTATTGTAAAACCAGATATTTTATATATTACAGTTCCGGGGCTACAACAATGAATTTTAATAATTATAATAATGCAAATATTTTTTAAATTAATATTCTTTAACTTATTTGCAACAATTTAAGGGGAAAGAGTAATTAATCATATAACAGGCAATTATAATAGCATTAATAATCTAACAGTAATTAATTAATCTATATTCAAATACCAGTATCCTCTCTAACTCCAAAAAAAATAACTACTTATGATGCCTTAACAGATTAACAGAATCATATTATACTGTGTAGTATCAAAAATGTTTGAAGTATTGCGACCATTGCAACTGTCGGCTACTCTTTCACCACTTGAAAACTCTCCATATCAACAATCACAGATAGCTCAGTGGTAAAGTAAGAGGCTCATAAGTCGAAGGACCCGGGTTCGAGACCCGTCTGGGCCAAAAAATTTTGTTCTAGTTTTTTTTCAAAATTTGTTTTTATGAACTATTTAATCAATTTACTTAACTAATAATTATGCTTTTCGTACTAAATCTTTATTATTTTGTGTGAAATAAAACGGTTGGACAATGGTTGGCTGGAAAACAGTTTAAAGAGGTGACATTTCTACCGTTGGCCAACTGTGTGGCTCCACAATTTACCAACGTTGGCCCAACCATCTGTGCTACATGGGTGCTGTAGAGGTTTCCCATTTCATATCTCTTTGCTTTTAAATCCACATAGTTTAGGTCATCGATTTGATTTTGTCGACACTTCAACCAACGGAAGCAGTTGACACACATGTTAATTCAAATCAAATCAAATCAAATTGCCTTTATTCTTGAGCGCTTCTCAATGCAATATTGGTTTACAGAATAACTCACGTCACTAAAACTAAACATTTACAAGTCAAATATGGCTGGCAACCGACCAGCAGAATCCCGGAAAGAGGATATGTGTTCCCGCTTATGAAGTCCGTAGACAAAACAAACTGCGTAGTTTAATTTATTGTATGTAGCCTTCAGATCAAATTTGCTACAACAGCATTTTGTTGAAGTCAATTCTTATGCCTTTCTTTAGCAATTCATACCATAAGAATAAGTGTGTATTTCATAAATGAGCAATGAATTTACAGTAATTGTTGTGTTTATTTCTTTTAAGGTACTCTAACATTTTTAACGCTCCTATCACACTACACAGTTTCCGCTGTACAGTTAAAAACGCACGGGTAATTTCAGTTTTTAGTATTGTAAAAAAGAGTATGGAAGCTTTCACACATGAAGGCGATGGCAAAAACCCGTCTTGCAGCCGTCCACACTGAAGAGGACGGTTGTTGCGCCGTGGCCGCGAGTGATGCAAGTAAATGCAAGCTTACATACTGCACAGATTTTAATCCAACGGGAGCCCACCAGCCAGTGCAAATAGATCAGCTGTGCAATGTTTATAGTTTACAATCCGACCTGTCAATTGGACACTGTTTATGTTTATTGTTACTTTGTAAACATATTCATCTCACCGTCCAGAAATACATTGAAATTATTCAACGTTACCAATCAAAATTATTACGTAAAATTGTCAATGCACCTTGGTTTGTTACCAACAGAACACTTCACAATGATCTTCAAATTCAAACAGTCAAAGAAGAAATTACAAAATCTAGTGAAAAATACATTATAAAATTGGAAAATCATTCAAATCATCTTGCACTTAATTTATTGGACAATCACAACACCATTTACAGACTGAAGCGACATACGATATTGGACCTTACCATTCAGATTCGGCTAAGTGTTATCTAAATTCTCCTTTTTGTTAGCTAGTGTTGATAGTGGTCAATCACTAGCTCATGTTCTTCAAGTTATTTTTGTATTACTATTTATATCATTTGCTTATTGTTAAACTTAAACAGATTGTAACTTAAATTAAATAAAGTTAAAATAAAAAATCTCACCGTACAGTCAGAAACCGTGTAATGTGAAAGAAACATAGAAACCGCGTAAATTCATACAGTTTTCAACCGAACAATGGAAAACATGCAGTGTGAAAGGAGCAATCAAAACTGACTGGAGGAATTTCCAATTTTGTAAGATAATACGCAGCTCCCAGAGGAATAGTTATTTAAGAGTTTGATTGTATATCCCAGTTTCAAAAACAATACAGCATTGATTAAATACTTTGTTCTGAGTTCTTAAGTGATGAGTCATTTTATTATCTAATGCAATTATATGGATTTATTAACCACTAGGCAAACAAGGTAGTTTAATTTTAATAATTTATAGAGCTAAAAAGATGTGCACACACTAAATCTGCAAACAAATAGTCCAATGGCACATTTATGGTTCATGATATCAGTGTGAGTGCAGAGCCTTTTACTCAAAAAGTTGTGAGGAATTATAATTTTTTCTGAAGTTTTTAATTTGAAATTATTCACTAACTTACGTTGGATAAGAAGTAGAAGGCCTCATATTGTGTAGGAGGTAGATGTACTATATAAATATGTAGTCATTATTTTACTGCTGGGAGAAAAAAACTCCTAAAGCATGAGCAAGCATTCACACTTTAGCAGCCCACACTTGGTAAAGTCATAATAACTCCTTTAACAATAGAGGAAATATGGAACTATTTGAACAAGTACCCAATACAACTGTTTTGCCTTCATTGTTTAGCAAGATGGTGTTTGGGAAAACAAACTACGTGTGTATAAAAGTAAAAACTGTTTCCATAATTGGTAGGAAAATTTTACCTGCGTTCCTATAGGAATATAATTTCTCTTTCCAACTAAAGAACAATGTTAGATAGTAAATAATATAGGGTTTGACCCAGCGCATAAAATAACATGATGACTGGGTGACACAAGTGTCGCCCAGTGCTGAGATTTTGTTGCCCAGTGGCTATGGGTGGTGCCGGCATATTTTTTTTAATGATTCACATTTTAAATCTATCGGAATTTACAAAGCATTTAAAAAATAACATTTGGTAAATATTTTATAGTATTTAGCTATGATTTTGGCCCAAGAGGTCGTAAAGGGATTCTTGGCCTGTTACAACGTTCTAGAATACGTAATTAAGTGATATTATAAGGACTATTTAAAAGCAAATATAATAGAAAAATTCATTAAAAGATAAGTAGAAATGTGTGATTTTCACTTTAATTTATGCACAAATTTCCAGGAGAGAACCCCCGGACCCCCCTTTTTGATGGGGGGGGGTATCCGTACCCCCAGACCCCCAAGTCCGCAGCGCCACTGTCGCCCAGTGGAAATCCCTTAACAGGGAATGCTCTGGTTGACCATTCCCTAAAAAAACTTTAAAAACTTAAACACAAAAGTAAAAACCTTTAAAACATCCATTATAGTTTTTTGGTAGTACTGTATTGTACATTGTCCATTGTCTAACCTATTACATAACTATTACTAGTACTGTACAAACAAGGCTATTTTAATTTGCTTGCAGTCTGTGCAGCTTAAGAATACAAAAACTGAAATATATCTTTTGTACTTCAGCTGGGAACATAAACAAGACTGCAAGTATTTATTGAACAACTATTCAAAATTTACCGTGAACTTTTTTCAAACTAATTGGTAAGTAAACATTTTACATTTTTTCTTAAATTCATATTTGTAAAATTCAGGGCATGTTCCTCCACAAACGAGTCTTGGGTTTACATCCGGTATACAACAAAGAGTTACTTATGGAAGTAGGCTACATCTCATTGGGAGGTTATAAAAAAGTAGTAAACATAAAAAGTACTTCATTAAAAAACTATTTTTATCATATTTATCGATTAATATAGTAATATTAGTTTTAGACTAAAATGACTCTTTAAGAATATTATGAATGGGAACTCTAATTTTGAATCAATCGGTTATATTATAACAAATTTTTTATGAAATTTTCACCCACCAGTTTATGACATGTGAAGTTGAATTATATAATGTAGTTAAAAAATTGTAATTTGGTTACAGATCACTAAACTTGCAGAACACAACATACTACACTGAATTCATAACAGAATAGAAACACAAGTCAAAATGGACAGCCCAAAGAAGAATAGAAAAACTAAAACAGAATCAAGTAAGAGGCGAAATAACAGACTGAGTGATTACTCTTCAGGATCTGGAAGTGGGGAGGGTAAAAATATTCCTAAAAAAGTGCCATCAAGTTTCACTGAAGGAATAACATCATCTACTTCAGAAAGTAGCAGCTACAAAAAAGGAAGCTATAACACCGCTAGCTTTGCGGATGGAGCAAGTTCAGTTTATTCCGAACAATTGGAAAGTAAAAGTGGAAGACGAGTTGAGAATCAACCAAGCTCCTTGCAAGAAGCAACTTCTTCTGTATACACTGATGCTTCATACAGAAGTGATGATGGACGAAAGAACTTGAAGGGAGGAACTTCAGCAGTATATCCAGTAAATATGCCAGGAGCAAGCTTTCCAGCAACTGAATCTTACAATTCTAATTCTGATAGTCTCGGTTCTGATCAGAGTAGAGAAAGTTCCTTCAGAGGCCGACAACGCAGGCCTGATAACATCAGGTTGATGCCGTTCAAGGTCAAAGACGTTATGGAAATGATCAAAGACAATCCCGCTTACAAAGACAAGTCACCAGTCATGATCAAAGTGAAGGAAAATGACATTGATCAAATATTGGAAGGCCAAGGTGTGATACGCGGAAAGGCTGAACCTCTGGACCAATACCTGAGACCTCGGAACAGTCCGGATTCTTTGCAAAAGAGTTTGAGAGAGGAGTCGTTCAGAATGCCAACTGGTGCGGATATTGGAAGACCAAAGACTAGTCAAGAAACCAAACAGAGACATGAAAAGCCTCTAGATGAACTACCATTTTCAGGGGCTGATAGAACACAAAAGGTACAATATTTGTTTAAGTAGATAAAACTGTAGATAAACAACATAAACTTTGAGAGCTAAAAGTTTAAAAAAGAATTAATTACAGTAGGCTTGTTTTGGGGTGCAATGATGTTAAGTCTTTGTATTTAGGATGTGTTCTTTAGAACTCAACCAATATTCAAGAAGAATTTAGGCTAAACATACTCGCCTAAGGCCGTTGGTTACCATTTTCTAAGATTTTAATGATCTTAATTTACCAGATGGTATTTTTTATAGTGTTATATTTTAATAGTCAACGGTCATCATCACAATGGTATCACTGACTTTCAGATACTGGTACCTGAGTATTTATATGTTAAAAAAATGTAATAGAAGAAGTAATACAAGAAGTTGACCTTGTTTAGTTTGGCTTGATTGAAAAGTGGCTGTATACAAATTGGTTAAACAGCCAAATTCTGTTAAAGGCTCAATTCAACTTAGTTCGTTTTCATTATAAAATGAACAACTTTAACATGGGAATGGAATATCTGAATCTAGTAAAAAGTTATTATTGCACACCAGATTAATTTAGTCAAGTTTCAAGTTTATCCAGCTGTTTTTTTATTTTAAAAAAATCATAAAACTACAAAGTAATAGTTCCATTTAACAATTTCCAGATATTTGCCATGCCTGATATCCAAGCGTACCCAGTTGTGCACTCAGTGCCTCGTCGTGGAAGGAACAGGTCCAGACCTGCAGGATTTGAACCACCTCGCAGACGAGTACTGAGCAAATCTAGATCAAGGAGGCGTAGATCTCGCCCAGTCAGGAGGCACTCTCGTGACAGAAGAGTCGTGAGAAGACAGACACCTCGCAGACGATACATTAGCCCTTGCACCGCCTATCCAATGTGTGACGATCAATGTCCCATCACCAGACCTTACAGAGGACCGAGAATAACCGGATATGGGCCTCGGCGAGTAATGTCAAACACATCAAACTACGAACGAAGAGTTCCCCGTCGAGTTGTATCCAACTACGCTCCTTACTACGATAGACCTCAACGGGTGGTGTCCAATTACAACACGCCGTACTACGCGAGCGCTCAAAGAGTTGGTAGTTACAACACTCCCATGACATCGGACAACTCGGGTCTTTACTACGCCGACAGCAAAACAGAGCATGGACGATTCAAACATAGAGGAAATTGCTGCTGTAACTTGTGCAGCAACAAACTACAGTTCGTCCAGCCCGGGTTGTGTTCAAAGAAAAAGACCGTTTGGACCAATGAGTACGCTGTTATTCCAAAACCGCAGGTGCACCTTATAGACCCGTGTGAAGAGCTAGATCCGGCCATCTATCCGAGAGCGGACAACCCGTGTATCCGGGACGGACAAGGGAATCCTCTCACAGACTGCATCGGAAGACCCTTGAGAAGTCCCGTGGGGAAGAAGTTCCTCAACTTTACCGCTAACGGAAGTGTGATGGAGACAAGTTTACGAGGCAACTTCTACACGGGGCAGCCCCCGCTGTGTGTTAAATGTCCAATGCCATCGGGAACCTGCGGCCCGGACGCTACACATAACTGGTGGATGAACTGTGGGTATCCTATCATGTCCGACATGAACCCCTTTTACAAACGGGTTCTGGCTGCTGAAATGGGTCCTTGCTAATTGCTAGATTGTATGAATATTTGCTGTGTTTAAAGTAGTCTCCACCTATGTCACATGTTTTTTAATCACACACTTTGTCAGATAACAAATAAATAAACAACACGTTTTATAATAATTAATAAAAATAAATTTGGCAAAAAATAATAACAACAGTCATAAATTAACTGTTTTATTTCTTAAATAAAACAAATATGAACATTTAGATTGGTTGGAATTAAATTCACATACACAACCGATAAATTGACTTAACATTTGTAACTACATTTTCTCTAGAACTAGAATGTCAGTCTGCTATTTAATTAGGATACTTCGTTGGACCATATGACTAAAAGATGATAAAAGTTAAAAATGCACAATACAAAATGCATTCATTGATTCTTTTAGTTTAGCATATCAACTATTCTTTGTAGCTCTTGCAATGCTATGATATTGCACTTATTCTTTCCCCAAGGAGTGCGACTGGAGCTTTGCCCTACCTACGAGGGTTCTGACTAATTCAATAAGAATTTTCAACTGAAAGCTTCACTTACAGTTGTCTACAAGATAAGCAAAAAATACCCGGTTAACAATGTAACATTAAAAAACTTAAGTCCTGGACTAGATAATTTTCCTATATAAGGTTCAGATATTTTAATCTGAACAAATTATCGTTGGTATGCCTCATCAGTCCAAACAACCCTGAATAAATATTTATTAATTTGTTCAGTTATTAACAAAAAACAGCTATACCAGTGAATTTTAATTAAAATTGCTCTTCTTGATAACAAAAAATGCTTTGAAAACACTGTAAAAGTTAAGGCCACATAGGATGGCCATATAAACATAGCTTTTTAGTTTTAATATTAAAATACGGACTGGTATATTATAGGAAATTCTGAATTAATCTTTGGTAATTGTTACTTATAATGTTTGCAATCTGGGAAATATTTCATTTACTGATATATTATTTGAAGATTAGAGCATTAGATAGTCTTAAATATTCAACAAATTTGAAATTGTAACTATATTAGGCAACAAATGGTATCAATTAAGTTTCAAAACAGCCTCTTAATTTATATTATGTATATTTATATTTATTTTAATTTTTGTTTGTCTATTTTTTTCAAAATAAGCTTTAGTCCACTACAAAAAATAAAATCAAATGATAATTTGATTATGACCAAAGCCAGCCAATAGTTAGGATTTTTTTATATCTATGATAATGCCGCAACCCTCTAGGACTAGCCTGATGTAATGTGTAAAACAGTTCCAGGCTAGAACCTAGCGTCCTAGGATGTGAAAGTGGGACGAAAAAAACAACCTGTTTTTTTAAATACATCCATTTATTTTTGGTCCCAGGACGCTAGGCTTGAGCCTGGGATATTTTTCTCATTACTTCAGGCTAGATCTAGGAGTTGCGGCATTATCACTTAGATAAAATCCATTGGTGATTTGGTGGGATTGGGAACCTATAAAGGACAGCCAAAATACAATTCTATTTAAGTTCCTTAGCTGGTTCAATAGTATTATAAATAAAAACAAAACACTCAACCTCTTAGCTAATAAATGCAAATTTATAAAATCAACAATCAAATTTTGTAAAAGCGTAAAAACATTTTAAACATTTAAGTTTTCAAATGTATACAAGTTTTCAAAAACCCTAAAATCATGTATGAAAATTAAAACAATATACATTTTCAATAACAATAACATAAATACAAATCAGGTAAAAATGCTATAAATTCATCACAAAATTCATGTTTGATTCCTTGAATCCCTGTTATACAAAACATAATGCTTATTGTTTGCCAAAGCCTATAAGTGAGTGGTTAGAACAAGTTGCAAAATCTTAAACTTTAGAATGTGAGTTTCTTAGGCTGCATGCTATAGTCACAGTTGCATGGCTAGAGCGGCGGCAGAAATGTTGTCCCCTCCACCTGCCGTCTGAACTGACTCCTGGAAATAACCAGAGTTTATGAGGAAACAATCTTTAAATCTTTGAACCTACAGCAAGTTAGCTTCAAGTATTTAAGTTTACTACTTGTACAATCATAGATGGTACAGCTTTACTCCCTGTGGTTGAATAAGAATTTTCCAGAGCACAACAGAAATGTCAAAGTTGGATTTAAAAAGCAGTCATCTCATTTACAGTGAGATTGACACCAAAAGTATTTTGGGGCAGCAATGTCCGTTAAACCTTAGTAATTATAATAAATTAATGTCTCCAAAATGTAATCTATCCAAAATTTGTTTTTATGACCCTACTTATTTCGACAGCTGTTGATTAGAAGCCCTCAGGACAAGGGAGAAGAGGTTAATTGAATAACTTCCAAGGTTTAAAATTTTTTATCCAAATTTTTACTGAAGTGCAATGTTAAGACAAGTTAAAATAATTAATAAGGTCTAAAGGTTTAACTTCAATACCGTCTACAACAGGTAACATGAGAATGAAATGTCTAGTTCAATCCATAGTCAATGTCTAAAAAATTAAATTGTTGAGTGTACCTTGCAGACGAGGACAGGAGCCACACAGAGCTGAAGGTCGTCCTCAGTCCAGCAAGACACGGGTCTCTGCGGTTCCAACACCACCCGGTCACTGGACCCGGACACCCGACTCACACTGAAGCTGTCGTCCATGATCAGCTTCGCCTTGTCCGGGTCCACCTGACAAGCAACAATAGATTAATTACAAATACACACTCAGTGACGTCCTTATCTTAAATAATTGATTGGTTGATTGATGGACAACCCCGACAAACCAGAGTGTGCATTTTAAGACAAAGATGACTGGCGAGTGTTAAATGGGCGACAAATATCTTTTTACTGTCTAATTTTGTTCAAGGGAAGGCTCTAGGCCAGGTTTTTGAATTGTAGAATAAAGAGGATAGCAGCTAGCTTACCTTGATGAAGTACAGGTAGGCCACAGAGCATACAATATTTGGTTCCCTGGGTCTTTTTCAAGTGTAGAGAAAATTAATGTTTTTTTTATTTTTTTTTAAAAGCTTATTAGGCCTATCGTGAGTTCTGTGTATATTCTGCATGTTATTTGGCCTATCTGTATTTGGGAAGCTAGCTCCTGATTAAGATTAGCTGTTTCTATGGTCAACATCATAAGAGTCCTAATGATGAAGGATAGCTGGGTTCAGTTTTGTAAGGTAAAAAAGCTAGAAATTTTTCTTAGGGTTGAACCGGCCACCTCATAAATAAAAGACGAGCACTTTTCACTCAGAAACCCAGCAATGTGATAATTAATTTTCCAAAGTAAAAAACTCAGCATGGATTTACGATTCTGCATTGATTACCATAAGTTGACTCATTAAGTCAAGTTTCAATTTACAAGTATTTTGAACGTGGGTGTCTTGTTAGCTTACTGGTTAGTTATTTAACAGTGCAAGAAGGATCAATCCCTGGAATTTCAATAAAAATTTAAGTGGTTTAGACCACTTTCCCTACAAATTTTCTTTAACCAAAATGGCACTGGTGTTGACATTAACGACCTGTTACTGAACTGTCACTTGGTTTACCTGTGGAGTGGCACACACATGTCTGTATGCCGTTAGAGAGGCCTTGGCGGCCGCAATATCAGAGTGAGGCCAGAGACCGGAGTCCGTAGTGAGGATCGCCTGGTAGGCCAGTGTGTGGACGTGGATACGGGTCAGCTCACGACGTCCCGCCTTACCACTGCTGGAGCTGCGTACTAGTCTGAAGAACACGGACGATGAAATAGATAAAAAAGCCGTTTAATCAACCAATTTTGAGTAAAACAGTTTTTCAGAATAACTATCTTATGATACAAAATGCATAGTAAATATTACAACATTACATTTAATAAACGGTATCAGCAATCTGAAACAGCCTACTCTCTCCCATTAGCTTGTCAACAACCCTTATAATGGGCAAGCGATGGGAGTAGATATTATTTTTCAAGGGGAAATTCACAAAAATTGCAGTAACTTTTGAACTTTTATATCAACAGGGGTTGTACAATTTTTTTTAAGGTTAAAAAGCCCATGAAAAGTAAAAATTGTAAGTAAGCTGTTTGTGTTAAAATCTGATTTTTCTGTTATTTTATGGGACAACTGCCATTGAAAATAAAAAAGTAGATAACAAATTAATAACGAATTAAAATAAACAAATTTTAAAATACTAGGAAATACTACAATGGATTAGTTCCCATCTCACACATCATAATCTCAACCCTAGGTGTAGTCTGTATTTTTGTTCCTATCCACACACACACACACACACGCACACAGACAGATGTATATCTATTAGAAAACTACTTATTTGGGTTCAGGGTGACCCAAAACGGATATATCCACCCAAAACCCAAACTAAAAAATGTTGACAAAAACAATACTTTCTACATATATAAAAGCTATATATAGCTTAATATAGCATATATAGCTTTTTAATACTACCTTCTAATACAAAACATTTAATTTAAAAACCAACAATACCGGTAACCATAAAAATTAATTAATTATTTTTTTTAAGTCGTAAAAAAGCAAACAGCTGATATTTACCTGAGTAACTGTCTCATCTGGTCCAACACTGTTGCGACCCTTGGGTTTGAATCCGATACAATGCTGACATTTCCAAACTGGTACAGGTTTACTAGGTTAGCCAACTCCTGTACAAAATAAATTCATTCATTGAAAAGGAGATCAATTTCAAATTTGAACATACCGTAATTTATCATGCAAAACTACTGAACTAACTATATTAAAAGGATCATAGGCATGAACTTACTGAAAATAAGGTCTCTATAAAGCTTCTGCACCCAAACAAGCTAAGGTCAAGCCTAAACACCCTTATGACCCAATTAGTCTTGCCATAGCAGCTCAGAACAATGAAAGGGAAAATTGACGCTCATTCCATGCATGAATTAAGTTCTGTTAATGGGAAGGAGGTCAATCCTTATTAAAATCCATTACCAGTAGATGAATTTGCATGCAAAAAAATTACACAAAAAAAGCTCAAGTGGCTTTGGGGGTTCGCAAAAGCCATTTGCTTGAGGCCGGCAGCAAATGTTCTTAAGTTTCCATTAAGAGTGATTGCAGTTAAGAGAATTTTGCTGCTGATCAGTATGTTTAAGACTCTAACAGCCTTCATATTTTTTTATATTTTAACAGGATATTTTTACATTTTGAGTTGGAGTTTTCAGAAGGAATTCCGTCATTTTGTTTGGCTTAATTTTAGTTTGAACACAAACTACGGTACCCTGCTTTTTACTATTTTTAAAGTTTTTTCATTTTATTTATTTTGTTGTAATATTATTCATATTCCGCCACACAGCTGATTGAATGACAGCAATAACTTTGTCTTGCAAGAATGGACGTAAGTACATATCATATCAGTGCGCCCCTTTGTCTTGCAAGCGCCGACTTGATCAGATTCTACAATTCAACAAGAAAACAAGACAGCTTTGAGGCTACTCAAGACGACAGACCTGTTCATTCATTCCCAGAGAATCAGAGTGAGGAATGATCAAGTCCATCAGTTTCTCCAGCAGTTCCGTCTCTGTGTACGAGGCCATCTCAAAGTGTATTCTAGTCTGAGACGTTTGCGACAACATCTGCTGCTTCACCAACAACAGTCTCCTTAACTTTTCACCTGCAAAAAGTGTAAAAATGTATGTTTTGAGGGGAATATATGAAAAAACAATCTTCACCCTATTAAACTAAAGGTTTAAGCTTACACGTTTTTTAGATTTCATCAAAATTAGATAGCCTGATAATTTTTACTTGAGTCATTGTTCTTACGGACATAATATGTAAAATATATATTTTTTTATGATTACAATTATGTTTTTTTTTCTTTTTACATCTGGGAGCATCTAAACAAAAACATTAATCAGTCCCAGATCTAGGTCTTGCCATAAAACCTAAGGTAATTATCAGGGCCGGCAAGAGCTGTCACAGGCCCTGGGCTGAGTGATACCGGGCACCCTATTTTTCTGATTTATTGTTCAGCCGCCTCTGAGTCGTTTTGTTACACAAATAACAATACCTACATTTTAAGTGCTTATGATCGTTTGATTAATTCTCGGGCTTACAGTTGCAACTTAATTCAAAGTCAAGACTTGAGATAAACAATTCAAGTAAAAAACTACTTAGTGATCTGGAAAAGCATACTAAAATTTTTAACTTAACCGATTACATGTACAGAAAAGATGTTAAATTTGACTGGGCCGGGCCCCCTCCAGAGCCCCCCTACCCAGCCCTGGTAATTATTACCGGTACCTATAGGGGAAATTCACTAATACAGGTGTTGAAAATGTCTGGAACCAACATTATATCTGGTGAGTGGTTAAAGAAAAACAAATGATATTTTGTGTACGGATATACTATGGTTTTACCTATCTTTTGGTGCCTTATGAAATTTTTTACCACTTATAGGGATCGTCCTGTGGAGGATGCAGTAAAAAGTTTTAATGGAAGCCTATGGTAAATGATACATCATTTTAAAGGCCATTTTTTTCTGAGTAAGGAGTCACAAGTTTCATCTCAAAAGGACCACCCTAGCAAAAATGGCGACTGTTTGAAATTTAAAAACCCACTCATATGGAACGTCCTGTGGAGGATGCAGTAAAAAGTGTTAATGTAAAAAGTATTTTTAAACAAATAATACAGTTATAAAACATAATTGTCTTGCTGTACATTTACTAAACACTTACTGAAAAAAAAAACATTTAACTAAATTGTTTTTGTTGTTTTACTAAACTCATTTTTAACAGAAATACCAATTAAGCTTTCTATTTTCAAAAACTTCAAACAGTTGCCATTTTTGCTAGGGTGGTCCTTTTGGGATGAAACTTGTGGCTCCTTACTCAGAGAAAAATGGCCTTTAAAATGATGTAGCATTTACCATAGGCTTCCGTTAAAACATTTTACTGCATCCTCCACAGGACGTTCCCTATAAGTGGGTTTTTAAATTTCAAACAGTCACCATTTTTGCTAGGGTGGTCCTTTTGAGATGAAACTTGTGGCTCCTTACTCAGAAAAAAATGGCCTTTAAAATGATGTATCATTTACCATAGGCTTCCATTAAAACTTTTTACTGCATCCTCCACAGGACGTTCCCTATAAGTGGTAAAAAATGTCATAAGGCACCAAAAGATAGGTAAAACCATAGTATACCCGTACACAAAATATCATTTGTTTTTCTTTAACCACTCACCAGATATAATGTTGGTTCCAGACATTTTCAACACCCTGTATAATGGTTCTGCATTACATTTATTGTATCCTATAGGGAAGTAGCCTAACTTATGGCACATGGGATGTAGAAAAATATCATTAGTTAAAAATAAAAATAACGTTCATTTGTCGACTCCTTACTATTTTATTATCAAGACGTAGCAAGAAGCTCTACAGAAACAGCTGTGTTTTGATTGTCTGTTGTTAATGAACATGTGGTCGTTGATCAATTTGTATGAGAACATCTTATGACTTTATAATGCCTTACACCGCTCCAGGCAAAGTTTCTTTATCATTTTAAGGTTATTTGTTATTTCAAATGGGACAGAAGAATGAGATAAGTTTTAAGACCTTTAGTAAAGTTTGAGACATCTATTTTAAAATCCTATCAGGCCGGCTTTAGTAAATGGGCAAGAGGTTTTACGTTTGTTGGGGGCGCAAAGAAGAGAAAAATTCCCCGCAAGAAAAGGAAGAGAGGGGCAACAATATACCTCGGGCCCATAGCGCATCACATGCAAACCGTGAACCTAAATCCTACTACTCAAAGTAAAAAAAAAAAACTTAACTACTTGTCACTAAATATTTTACCAAATTTTGATTATTTAAAGACTTTGTTACGTTTAAATCCAATTGTAGGCTATCAGAAAATAGTAAAAATGAAAAAAGTTTGAGCACTTTTAAAACAAATTTTCAAGCATCCAGACCAAAGCTTTCATATAGATGAATCACCTTGTTGAAATGGGTAGTTGTCCATCATCTGAAGACCACTGATGACGAGTAGATCTGCTTCAAATGTTTTTAGAGCTTCTTGAAAATGTTCCAAGGAACTGATGACAGGGTTGTTGTCATCATTGTGGATTATGAATCTGAAAAAAAATTAGTAAAATGTACACTTTTTGATTGAGAGCTTAAAAGGGTCAGAAAATTATTGCAAAATTATCAAAGGAAGATACACATCAAAGTGATGTTGCATAAGGAATTCTTTTCATGATATGATCTACTTGAGGTTTATACTTTTTAATGTGCCATTTCAAAAGCAAATCTAAGGTGATTTGAAAAGTTTTAAGTTTATAAAGTCTTTTGTCATCAAAGCTATTTTACCGGCGTTTAATTTACTGTGGATGGGTTATGCATTTGTACTGCATCTGGATCACGATATCTAGTTTAACTTAAACAGTAAATTCTTTAAAATGAGAGACAATCACCTTCTAGGGTAGGCCTACTGAACGATATAATTGATTTTAGGATAAGTAGACATCCCATCAATATACAAGCTGTAGCCAAAAAGTGCTAATGTCTAAAATTTTATCACGTAAAAATTCTCTATTACCTTCCGTGTAGCAGCAAACCTATGTAGGTAGTTACCTAAGTACCTAAAGTGATTAAAATAGGAAAAAGATCTGACATATTTTAGTGATATGCCTATTATCTATAGTTGCAATATTTTAATAAAAATCTGATCAGGTAGATAGATGACAATTGGCTTAGTCTACAGGTTTGCTACGGTGGGTTTATTTGTTACCGAACTGCAATAGTTGATATGACATAAAAGATGCTATTTATTTGAAGATAAAAGTATTTTTATCTACAAATAAATAGAAGAAAAATACTTCCATCTCACTTTCCTCACAAAAAAAGGATAAAAATGTTAAATATTGTTTACCTGTTAGCCCTCGGAGCTGTGAAGGGCCCCCAGGAGTCTCCCGCTTTGTACTCCAATATTAAGTGAATATCATCTCTTTCCGCAACACCTCCGACCACTGAGTTAGTGACACAAACACGTCACAACAAGCAACAACACAACAAACCAGACAACACATTAGCATTAGAAACAGTAAGAAGTGAGTTCCAAATTAGTCTTAACATCACAGAGCAGTAAGGTACAGAGGATGCATTCAATGATACACTTAAGTGTTGTCTAGCACTAGTTGCCGGTGTCTAGGGAAAAGTCCAATACCACCCCCCTCGCCCCCATGTACAACGCTAACGGTGGAGGAAGACCTGTGGAAAAAGAACTTCCACTCAGTGCTGCTCGGGAATTTCCTTGCTCGTCACAAGTATATTCCCGGCACAACATATTACAGCTGTAAGCGCACATTCGTCCCATAAGTAAGTTGCCTTACTTCTCTATGCTGAAGTCTAGGAAGTTTTTAGTAGTCATTCCTTAAGCTAGGCCTATCTTTTGTTATGGCTTCCTTAAGCTATCTTGTGTTATGTCTTTTTATTCAGAATACAGTTGTCAAAGGTATGGTTAAGGTAAAGGAAGGAGGTTACTCAAAATTGTTCTTTAAAAATAGTAATGTTTCCATGTGATGTGGCAGAAAGAGACCTCTTGTCGAGAATATTCGATTTTGTGCCTATATTTTAATGCCTTATTAAATTCCAAATCACTTGGTGCAAGACCCATGCATCTACATTTTTTTGTTCAAGTTAGGCTATAGGACTTTAAAATTTGGTTATGCAAAAAGGTTCATTTTGAGGAAAAATTTTGAAAATTTCATATAGGTACGCATAAAAACAGTTTTCTTTTCGTATTCAAGAAACGATATTAGTATCAAATCAAAAGAAAGCTTATAATGTCTTATTTGGAGGCAATAACAATTTTTGTCTTAACCTTAAATCATGGTAGTTTTTTTATTTAAAATCATTCATATATATTGTTTTATTGAAGCATGTCGTAAAATCACATTTCAGAAAAGGGACCTCTTGTCGGTCCTATGTTATTTCTTCATAAGATAAAAAAAGGTACCTCTTGTCAGGACCGCAAAATTTGAAAGATATTTTATTCTCTGTAAACTGAACTTTGTTGTAGCTCTCTAAATTTCCACTAGAATGCAGGACAATTCATTTTTTGGACTAAAGTCTGTTTATAAAGTGTATATTAGAAATGGGAACTCATGTCGTTATGGCGAAATAACATTGAGCGACAAGAGGTACCTTTTCTCAGACCATGCAGAGGCTAACAAAATGATTTATTTCGACCTTTTACATCTTAAATTCTACATTAGGCCTAAATAAGGCATAGGCCTAACAATCGATAAAAACCCAAATTTTGATATTTCCGACTTTAATTACTTATATCGGTTGTACTGAAAATGTTGCATCGCCCACAACAGGTCCCTTTTTGCTTTCAACATCACATTATATTGAGTAAAAGGTCATTAACTGGTCATTTTTAAATACTTTCTTACATGATTGTTATGGTTTCAATAGGTATTGCATATCTATGTCTAGGTACAAATAAAAGACATATATACAGTTCTAATAGGACCACATATTTCTTCATACACACATTTGTTTCTAAAATTATGTTACTATCGAGTGCTCATTAGTAGGCTTTGCCAAGCCCTATACAAAGGTTAAGTGAAATGCCACAGGCTAACAGTAAAACTATGGTATATGAGGTTAAACTTTCAAGTACGGTACACCTTTTAAGAATAAGCAGTGTTATTTAAGTTAATTTAAAAAGCCAGAGTTATTTGACATGAATAAGTTAATTATATTTAAGATGAAATATTTTATTCAAAATTTATGTAATAATGCTGAAAGGGTTTGATGTTATAATGAAATTGGTGTTATAATGCTGTTAAGATATGAAGCTAAATTTTTTGCAAACTCTATAAACTTTTTTTAACATGTTCTAGGCTGTTACAAACCAAAATCCAAAGGTTTGTAGGACTTCTGTATTCAACGACTGTTTACAACATACCTTCTTCTACTGCTAACTCATGAGTAAGGCCTACCTCAAGGTTAAAAAGTTATTTTTACCTTACTTTCTAGAACTGAAAATGACAGTGGCATTGACATTGTAGTCTAGAAGTAACTATTAAATTGGTGTAAATACCTGTTTTGTAGTAATCCTTAATTGTTGCTAGTGTCGCAACTTGTTTCAACTTTCTAGAAAGTCATCTTCAGGCGTCAAGGATGTCAAAGGGTGGTCACTTCATATGAAGGTCGTCATTGCACATAAAGTACACATAAAAACATGACACACAAACACGGACATTAAAACGTAAAAACAGCACATTAAAAATAGGTACGTTCGTTTTAATGTCCGTGTTCGTGAGTGGTGTTTTTATGTACTTTTGAGCAATGACGACCTTCATATGAAGTGACCACCCTTTGACATCCTTGACGCCTTAAGATGACTTTCTAGAAAGTTGAAACAAGTTGCGACACTAGCAACAATTAAGGATTACTACGAAACAGGTATTTACACCAATTTAATAAATTCAACGTAATCCAGAGGTTAACTTCTAAAATTAAACTAGAAGTAACCTTCATGTGTAAGCTATGATTTTTTTTCAAAATCAATGCGAATAAGAAGAATTAAAACTCAATTTCACTTTGAAAAAAAAATAGTGATCACAAACATACGATACTTCTCACACTTAAAAAGGATAACCCACTTCTTTTTCAACCTTTAAATATAAATCTACCACATAAAGATTCTATCGGTTACCTTTCAGCGTGGAGGGAAGACTCAGCCTAAGTCTAGGAGTCAAGGTAGCGGCCAGTAGAACTTCGCATCCTTCTATACTCATACGGTGACCCATTAATGGAGCGTTCCCTCCAATAGAGTAACGAGAACCCTCCATTTGGGACGCAATGGCCACAAGTTCATCAAATAACGTTGAGTTTGACACATACTGTCTGAAAAGTAAGGCAAATTAATTAAAGGTTTTTCAAAGTTTAAAATCTTCTTGTTAATTATCCATGTTAACTTAATAACACCTAAGGGACCAAAGTTGAAGTGTTACGTAACAATGCTATAAAATATATAACATATAACAGTGACAATGTTACAATAAAATAATGTTGATAAAGTGTGGTAAGACCAATGAGACATAGGCCTACTGATTAATACATTTTACCATAGTATTTTTATTTTATAATGTATACAAAACAACATCACAGTTAAAACATTTTTTGTGACTTGTCTAATCTGTTAGATCTTTACCAAGCGATGACAAAACTCTGTAAAATCTGACACCCGTGCAATCTAAAGAACTTGGGTTGCTCGCCCAGTGATCAGAACGTTGTTGGTTCCATATTGTTAAAAGTTGGAATCTTATTGATGTTTCAAAACTGGACCCAGCAGTCCTTTATCATTGGGACTTGTAATACATGGTCCTGGCTAAAGATCCAACTAATCTTAGTCAGTAACTTAACAAATCTGGCATCTTTGCCTTAAAGTATCCACCCTAATAAGGTTGTGTTGTAAAAATCGGATCTACCAAATCAAATCAAATCAAATCAAATCAAATCAAATCATCTTTATTTTTGCACAGAAAAAAACTGTATAATAGCGTCACAAGAATCTTAATAAACTAAATTATAAATGCTGTTAGAACTACGTAACTGAACAGTATCTTAATTCGATCGGCAACTTAAAAAATCTTTCACAGTGTAGGGAGCTTGTTCCAAGAGTATGCGTTTGACCGCTCTCCCAAATTTGTCTTTGTCTTGCTCCACTTTCAGGGGTTCAGGCAACACATTGAAAAACCTGATACTATTATAAAATAGGTGTCTCTCAAAGAAACTTGTCCTGTGCTTAGGTAGCTTAATATTGTTTTTTTGTCTGAGAGTGTACTGCATTGAATGGAACTGTGGTTGATACAGATGATAATTTCTTTTTAAAAACGATAGACAACTGAGTATGTATATGGATGGAAATGTGAGGATATTGTATTCCTTGAAGAGAGGCTTGCAAGAAGTACGACGGGATATTCTGAAGGCTGCTCTTAGGGCTTTTTTCTGAAGACGGAAGACAAACTTTGTTCGTACGCTCTCACAGCCCCAAACTGCCACCAAATACGACTATAATGGGTAAATCAGTCCATAATAGGCACTCAAGGTTACACGAGAATCGGTAAACCTCGAAAGACCTCTGATCACAAAAATTCCTGTGCTAATTCTTCTGGATATGAGCTCTATATGGTCATGAAAGTTGAGCTGTCTGTCTAAAACCAAACCAAGAAACTTAGCATTGTTACAAGAAGAGATCTCTTCGTCACCTATCAAAACGGTCAGTGGGACTTGCTTTTTTGAGCTGTTAATATGGTATTGGAGCATTTTTGTTTTCTTGCAGTTTAGAAGAAGTTTGTTGTTTTGGAACCATTGCAAAGCTCTATTGGAACTCTCAAATGCTGTTGTCTCTAGATGAGCCACGTCTTTAGCTGAGACGCAAAGTGAGGTGTCGTCGGCATATAAACAAACATCTACATTTGAACTTGGATTATTTGATACAAAAGAAGGCAGGTCATTAATGAAGAGCAAAAACAGGATTGGGCCGATGATAGAACCCTGGGGAACACCCCGAATAACAACAGACGAAGCAGAGGTAGCATGATTACGAATTCCTTGGGAGTCAACAAAGGGTATCCGGACTGATTGAGTTCTTCCTTGAAGGAAGGATGACACCCATTCGTGAGCTAAGCCCCGTACTCCAAGACGGTAAAGCTTTTCCAGAAAAGTAGGGTGATCAACCATATCAAATGCTTTAGACAGGTCAAAATTTATTCCCAGTGCAGCGTCTCCAGAATCTAGGGCTCCTGACAAGAATGATACAACATGATTGACTGCGTCGAGGGTCGATTTTCCCTTTATAAACCCAAACTGGTGGGAAGACAAGATATTATTTTCCTCCAAAAATGACAAGAGTCTGTTCAGAAAAAGACGTTCGAAAACCTTGGAGAAAGTTGAAATTAAGGAAATTGGCCGATAGTTGCTACAATCAAATTTGCTTCCATTCTTATGAATAGGCCTAACAATGGCATGTTTTAGGGAAGATGGAAAGCATCCCTCTTCAAAAGAACAATTTATCAGATGGACCAATGGAGCAGAAACTAGATCATATGTTTCTCTAAGAAGTCGAGAAGAAATTTCATCTGACCCACTCGATGGTTTTGGTTTGAGTGAAAGTATGACTTCTTCTACCTCGGGTTTGGTGACAGGGGACAAAAATAGAGAATTGCTTGCAAAATTAAGAGACTCTGACAGCGAGTTCACCCTATCTATACAGTCACTTTCAGTGTGAAATTCAGTCCCGATATCAGAGAAGAATTTATTAAAGATTCCAGCGACTGTCCCTGGATCTCCTACTGTACCGCCATCTTTGTCAACCAATGAAATGTCGAAGTTGTCCTTTAATTTAGGACCTTTGGTGTCATTTATGATTCCCCATATTGTCTTTGATTTGTTCGATGACTCAGATATCTTACTAAGGATTTTGTCTGATTTTGCTTTACGGACAGCCATTTTGAAGTTTCTTTTCATATCTCTGTACTTCAAGCGGATAGGGTGTGACGAATCAAGATCCTTTGACAATGAGTAAAGAAACTGCAGTTGCTTTTTAAGGTTCAATATCTCTGGCGTGATGACTGGTTTATTTGAAGACTTATGACGATGGACTTTTGTTTTCGTTATAGGAAAGGATATATCGAAACAGTATTTTATGGTTTGAAGAAATTCACTGAATTTTTTATCTGTACTCTGTTGATCTAGCATGCCAGTCCAGGTTTCCTTATTTAAGTGATGCCTAAAACAACCAATATTTTCCAAATTAAATATACGACATTGAATAAACAAAGGTCCAGATGGTGGAGGTGAAGGAGATAGATTAATTACGGCTTCTTGGCCATGGTGATCTGACAAGGCGGCCTTAACAACCCTACAACTAATTAACTGGGAGTCAATGTTTGTGAAGATATTGTCAATGACCGTCTTAGAGTTCTTAAACTCCCTTGTATATGATGATATTTTATGATGCAGGCCGTATGATCGCATTATGTGCAGAAAGCTTGTGCTCGAAAATCCGTCACTCAGAATATTAATATTGAAATCACCCAGGACAACAATCTTGCGTGCATTTTGAAGAATAAAATCCAGACATTCTCCTAAGAGCTCAAAAAACTCATCGCAAGCATAACTAGGGCTCCTGTAGACACCAAGAACTACGACTGCGTCATGGTTCGATAACACAATTTTGGACGCCGCTAGATGACAAGACCTCATTTAACTTGCAAACATATTTGACAGTCTGCCTCAATTGCTCAAGACAAACAGCCCAATAACTTAAGCAGCCTAAGAGTTAAAAGTCTGAGTTTATCAAAACAAGTGGCACGGTGAAAGCGTCTTGGGGTAATACATAAGTCATCACTGGTTCAAGTTAACAGGCCACCCAGCAGTATCATCACTGTTGTTAGGCATAGGTTTACCAATTCACCATACCGGTATCGGTTTAAATCAATGTGAAATAAAATGAAATGAAATAAAATACCTTAGATTCTTTATTGTCAGTTTGAATTTTTACAAATTATTGACAATGTCATGGTACAGCTAAAATTAGGCTATAGCTTAGTCAGTTAATTAATACAATTTACTTATAACTTAGCCACAGTTAATAAAACAGCCACATTTAATAAAATAGCCACAGTTAGGCCTAATAATACTCCACAGTTTTTTTAGGAACGCATGTTTGTCAGTGTCTTGAGTTCATTCATATTGTTCAAAACTGTAAAAATGGAGTTGTCCGTTGAAATGTAAAATAAATAAATAAATACGTTTTTAAATATAGCTTACTAAACAAAAGGAAACATATCAGGCCTACAATAGGCCTACTTATTTAAAAAATTACAACTGAAGAATCTTATTGTTAAAAAATCTTCCATACTATAAAACTGTGTTAAGTTTATACCGGTAACTTAGGTCTACCTACTATATTACCGGTACCTGTAAGTTGTAGTACCGTACCTACTAAACTGTATTTAAATCCCTGGTTAAAAAACCATGTAAGTTAGTTAACACAGAGAAGTTTTAGTACAATTTATGCTACTGGTACCGTACTTAGTGTGCTATTCAAGTTTTAAGATATTTTTTTTTAACACAATAAAAATATTGTATGATGGTTTACAAATTTATTACGAGCCTATGTCTTGTACAGCCTAACTTAGTGTACAAATTGTTTTTAGCTAAGTAGGCCTATTAAGTTAGGCCTTAACATTTTTCAAGCGAAACCATCAGATTTCTACTTTTAAAGCACAACGGTAATGCCTGTGCGCATCCTGATAGCGCATCCTCTAACAGTCTACAGCATATTATGTATAAAGGTTTACTTACTCAGCTGCAGCACCGTGACGAAAGAAGAAAGCGAATACTCTTTTTAATTCTTCAAGCGTGTTTATGTCTTCATGATATTCAGCCAATACAGATTCGTCATATTGTAAGAAGTTTTTACCCTCAACAAACAAGTCATTGCAAGCTCCATAGCCAACTGCTACTTTTGGTGTTTCACTTGTGAATTTGCTTTCAACATCAATCAATCCTTGAAGAACATGCTTTAGCCGTAAGTTCAATTCATTTTCAGGAGAAGAGTTGAAATACACAGCAATGAGAACAAATAAAACAGAAAAAACTGTTCCTACTGTGATGAACTTTTGAAACATAATTATATAGGTACGATAAAAACAAGTCACACTAGGTGTTAAGGTGTTACCGGTAGTCCTTGGAGAAGTCAACTGACCTGACAGACAACTAGTCAACATAAATATCCAGAACCTTATAATTGAAATTAGTTGATAAATTAGACCTAGGCTAATTACAGCAGAGATTTAAGTTGTGTAACTATTTTACATATTATCATGAAGCCTACACAAGTTATCTTCTTCAAACTTGTGTGATTTATGAACCGACTATTTTCAGATTTCAGAGTCCTAGTCTATGACTAACAGAATTTATAATTAGGTTTAGTCTACTTTGTATTGACTGGTTAAAAATAGGCATAACCTTGAATGAATAAACAAACAAGCAGACAGCAGACTACCTACCTACGTAAACTGATCAGCTGCTTAATTTTCTCAAGAGTGCATGGAGTAAGGTATTCATTCTTTTCCGCCCTTGGGCTGGCTTTGGACATAGATTAAACATTCTCCCTAGTCTATGCTTTGGACTACATTTATATAGTATCATAGACTAACCAACACAAGTAGACTTCTCATCCCATTGTAAATTTTGAAGCTCGTTTTTCATGTCTAGTTCATGTACGCCACACTGGGCGCTAGTGTCGACGAAATTTTGTTTCTATTATTTTAGGGTCAATTTCTTGATTTGTGCTTTACTGTTTGGTTAAATAACTAGGGGACAATTTATTGTTTATGATTAGATCGTATTATTTGGTTAAACGAGGTTTTAAATGACTGTACGGGAAACAAATTGTAAACAAAACACGACCTCTACATAAACCGTACAGAACTAACAATTGGTTTCTGCTGTTCCATTAGGATGAGAAATCTACTAAGGGAGAATGTTTTATCTATGATAGTATATACATCTACTATATTACAGAACAACTAAAAACTACCCCCTTAGTTATTAAACCTTTGCGTTGGTTAGTCTATGATTACATTTTGGGATATTGGCTATGGAGACTCCTGACGTGGGGTCTTAATAGTGCACTATAATTCCACAGTGTCTACTCGTGAATGTTTTTGTCACAAAATAAACTGCTCGTGTAGTACTCTAGACTTTTCAAAACTTCTTACCTACTCCTATTTTATATCTTCCAGGGTCCAGTCACAGAGGCTATACAAGAATGGATTTGGTCACTCTGGATTAAATACGATGGTAATTAATTAAAATAAATCTGAATTTTGTACGGATAAATTTCCGTAAATGTAAATTGAAATGTTACTGAAGTGAAATGTTTAGTAAAAAATAGATATTTTTATAAAATAAAAACTATTTGTGTCAGTTTGGATATTGTATCCACGTAAACTGTAAAGTTTGTTCTTAAAATCTTTTTGTATTGATAATATTACATAAAAAAAATATTACCATAGACTAACCAACTCACTTTAAAGACCTTCCACTTAATATCACTGCGTCAATGTCATGGATAATGTATTATGCTCATGCAATGATTATAACATAACAATAACTCAATAACTATTTTATTTAACCAAAATAACAAATATAAAATTTGCATTCTAAGATCTAAGTTATTTTTATTTTTATTATTAACCCCAGGTGTTGTTATCCATTCAATTTTATTACATAAATACTTGGCCAACTTTTCTAAATTTGTAAGTAAGATTAATCAATGATTAAAATAATTATGAAAAAAAATAAAAATTTAATTTTAACCTCTATGGATTTTATAGGAGGTAATGGCGGGAGAATTATGAATCAGACGTCTTGTGTCATAGTCTGGAATAGTCTGGATAAATTTTTTGTCATTCACCATCACCACAGGTTAGGATCTGCATTTCAGTATTATTTATTTATTTAGGATTAGGCTACTTAACTTTACTCATAACTGCCATTCCATTTAAAGACAAAGAAAGACATAAATGAAACATAATAATGAAGCCTGATATTGAGGTAAGTTAAAGTTAAACTATTTGATAATACACCAAGGATTTTAATTATAATCTAAGTTATTTGTTAGGTAGGTTGATGAAAATATGTTGGTACAGTAAACTCATTTGTCTATGTAACTCCTACAGGAATAGCATTTGTAAACATTTTTGACTAAATATTCATGAGCTAAGTTTGCAGAGTTTAAAATAATATGTTAAATTGTTCGACATAAGAAATCATAACTTAACCAAACCCTTAGAGAGTTTTAAGAATAATTCCTTGAATTTATTCTAATAATGAAATTTTTGCCGTAGTCTATATATAATAGGCTAACTAATCCAGTATGGTTTAGGGATTAACGTCCGCAGGAGTGAGTACTACGACTATTCACAGTACTATCCTGATAATTAGACCAATTCATATATACCAAGGCAAAAATGTAGTTTGGATTCTACCATAAACTGTAGGTCCCTTAGTTGCCATTAGCTGTATGGGCTATTAATTAACAGCTGTGTCTAAGGAATATGTCGGCCTTAGTCACTAACAAGACTACAAGATCACGCCACTCATCTCCATTCATACTTGGCTTAAAATACCTACTTTGTATGGTCGCCATTGCAACGAAAAGTATTAAAGTATTAAGTATAGTATAGGCCTAAAGGGTTAGTTTGGTGCAGTAGGTCCTATTCAATCTGACCAAAATATAGATATTTTTGTTCTGGATTTATCATTTTATTGTGAAAAGACTGTATCGGCCCACTTAGTAACGTACAAGACACTGACTTGTATCTACTATATTTTTTCTTTCACTTTGTTTCAGGAAATGTCCAGAAGTAAATCCGGTGGTCTTGTTCCCCCAGAAAATTTTGACTTTCCTTTTCCTCCTTATCCAATACAACATGAGTTCATGTCCATGCTTTATTCAACGATTGAAGAAGGAAAGTTGGGAATCTTTGAAAGTCCAACTGGAACTGTAAGTACCAGTAACATAGGCCTAATCTTGCTAATGGATTGTGTACCGTAATTAACTTAATCTTTAATTACCTACTTGTAGGGCATATAACTTACTGACTAATAATCTCACTATTTTATTAGCCTATAAATGAGTGTACAACAAGTCTACAAGTGTGAACCTTAAGTTAAAAACAACTTTTATTTAGGCTACATTAGTCCTAATAGCCAGTGATTTATTCCTAGGTCCTGCCATTGGAGAGTAAGGCAAAGCCAAGTAAGAGAATGAAACTGAGACTCGAAATGGAACTTGAGACGCGAGCCATGGACAGTTAAACTTATTCTTTACAATACTTAATTTACATTATTTAATTAACTTACATGATTAAACAATTCTAAAAATTACCTAAATATAGCCTAGCCTAAATAGTTAAGTCACTGTTGATTCTTAATTTTACTTAATGGTACTCAGTAAAATACAGGGTGGCGCAAAAAGGATGGTCGGTTTTAAAATGAACATAACACAAATTATTTTACTCATAAATTTTACTGACTTGCGTTTCTGGACACTTTCAAACTCCCTAATACAAAAAATAACCTTGTAAGTTACAAATTTGCTAGTAGGCTATGTCGATAAAACCATACAAATTTAAAAAATATATAAATAGAACGTAGCGGACTTTGAAGTACTGACGCTCTACGGTCTCCATGTTTTGTGGAGTAACTGCCGTCCAGTAGATTTACCACGACGGACCCTGTGGTCCGAGATGCAGTCACCCAACGTGATATGATCTTCGAACAGGAACCAGTCCCATACGGGCTACGCCAAAATGTTGTTGAAACAGCCGTTACGAAGAAATTAAAGATTCACTGTTTCTGGAAAAAAAGAAAAAAAAAAACTGTTCCACGGCTAAAATGCAGTGTTCGACCCTCCACTGCACCATATCGCTGCAAATTTGGTACCATGATCGAGTTACAGACGGTCGTTAGTGGACCCGAACCTCCCCCAACTACTAGGCTAATACTACGCAGTTAGAATCCGACCATCCTTTTAGCGCCACTCTGTATTTTACTACTATTTTAATAAATATGTGACACCTGGTAAGTCGAGCTTTAACTTATAACTAAGTAGGTAGCCTACATTTTAAAAGTTTTACTGTATAAAGGACCCTTTTGATAAGTTTAGAGTTGACTAATAGCTAGATAGGTTTTACACACATTTTTTAATTATGAATTGAAATGACCCCATGACGGGTTTTAGCGTTTCCATAAAGTCTGCAATCGTTTTATAGCGCTTTATCGTGCTAGCAGTGGCTTCAAAGTTATTCACCCAAAGGAGGGTAGCTTTCCTTGATGGCACGGGAGCCCGCTGCGATAGACTGAACTCACAACAAAAAGCGCGCTGAGCACAAACCATTATATACACGTTTTTATAAATATGCCTTTCCAGCAAACGTGTGTTGTGCACTCGTCCAACGCTCCATGGCTACTGAAATTTCCACTTTTCTAGACGGCTATGGCCATTTCCCCCGTACTCTGATAGCCCCCAATTCCTTGTCAGCTGGTATAGGAATCATGCCGTTTCACTGCCTCACCCTGTACTTAGCCCTATGAAAAATCAAATCTTGGTCCAAAAATAATTGCTATGAATCAAACCAACAACCCTTCGATTTGAAGGGGATCACTAGGCCTATTAAGTTTAATCACTCAATTGGATAATTTGAATCTAAATTTTAAAACTCTTCATCCAAATTCCCTCTAGTTTTGGATGGTGGTAAATCATTTTCAATCCTTATTACTTATTAAGTGTAGGTAGCCTATAATTTTATTAAAAGTGGTTTTTCATTGCTTTCTAGGGAAAATCGCTGAGTATAATATGTGGTGCGTTATGCTGGTTGAGAGACCACATAGCTCGTGAAAAGGATTTGTTAAAGGAAGGGATTGAAGACTTGAAAAAACAAGAAGAAGAGTTAGAAAAAGAGAATGATTGGATTAGCGGCCAATCACGGAAACTTGAATTGGAGCGAAGTCGCTTACAACTTCAGAGTACATTGAAACTAATGACTGATCAGGATGAAGAAATACAACAAATGAAAGAAAGAATATCAAAACAGGTTTGTATTTGTTCACGTCTCTTGGTCTTGCTACTATTGTTATTATGTTATTTAAAGTCACTTATTTGCTGTCATCGGAGGAAATGTGTGAAGACTAAAGGGTGGTGAATTAAATTGGTTATAACATGTAACTTTTTTAATTGGTTACTCCACGGTTAAGCTTCTTTATTCTCTCTGATTTTGTTTTAATAACAAGTCTACCTCAGTACATAAAATCATAGATAAAACATAGGCCTAGTAAATTTATCATTCTCATAGAACAGCTAAAGACAATGTTATTGTTAGGTAGTTCTCTACAGTCTACTGTTGGTAGAGTTTTGTTTACAATTTGTTTTACCAAATAATACAATCTAATCATAAATAATATTCTTCCCATAGTTATATAACCAAACAGTAAAGCAAAAATCAAGAAATTAGTCCTAAAATAATAGAAACAAAATTTCTTTGACACTAGCACCCAGTGTCACCCGACATGAACCAGACAAGAGCTTCAAAATTTACAATGGGATGAGAAGTCTACTTGTGTTGGTTAGTAGTCTATGATAAAATATTGCCAGGTGTGCTTCTGGTAATGAATGCAGGCTACATACCTTGAATATGTAAATGTATGCCTAGTATTCCAGTTTACAATTTAATATTTCGTAACAATTTACAGGTGACAAAAGAACACATTTTAAAAGAAGATAACAAACCAAAGAAATCAAAGGATGAAGATTCAACTGACATACTGGATGATGAAGATCTCTTGTTGGAGGAAGTTGATCTGAAGGAAATTAAGGATTATGATAGCGCTGAAGAAGAAAAAGAAGAAGAGAAATATCAGGGTGTTCAGGTAAACTTAAAACATAATTTTGTAGGAAACTAACTGGAATGAAAAATATCTTTTAATTTCTACAACATCGGCACACCAAGATGTGTTGATCGATTGATTGATTCTGTAGGGGCGAACCTTGTCCTGTTGCACGTCAGCCACTGATGGGCTTTTTGCACTCTTATATGCGCTCAACAGAAAGGCTGTGGTCCCACAAAGTCTGAGGCTGACGCTACATTTGCTAGCCTGTCAGCCACCTCGTTCCCTTCTATCCCTGAGTGCCCAGGAACCCAACAGAGTGTTACCTTGTAGTGAGGCTCCTGGATAGCTGCTCATTGCGCCTGCGATGACGAGACAGGCGAGTCTTTGGACGACCTCTCACCGCCGACACCGAGTCCATCTTGGGCGACCATACGAGTGAGCCGTATGTCATGGCAAGCCTTACCACGGAGACAAACAGCTAGTGCACAAGCCCCGGCTTGAGCCCCAGGTTCCTCCCACCATCCGTCTGCATGACATGAGTGACCATTTACCTCGATCAATGACCTTTTGGAGTTGTGGTCCCCATTGCAGCTTTCGGTCCAATACCACACCCAGATACTTTACCTGATTCTGCATTTCAAGCACTGTGTATTGTAGTCTCAGAGGTCCTATGCCATCTAGATCCCGCCTCCTGGTGAAGGGGATAACCGCCACTTTGGAGGGGTTGATAGAAAGGCCTACCTCTGTGCACCATTGTCCAACTGACCTCAAAGCTGTGTTCATGAGGTCGGAAATCACGTTGTAAAATTTACCCATAACCAGTATCACACATAGTATACACCAAGATGTGTATTTTAAGGGGCTGACGAGTGAAGGATGAATATCGTATGACAATAGTTTTGTTACTGACTTAGGTTAGCTGGTTTTGTGAAAATTTTTTGCGTTAGATCATACTTCTACTTTCAAGGTCACTGTCAAAGTTGAGGTCTACTGTTTGTTTGCACCTAGAATGCAAACTGAAAACCCTACACCTTCCTTCTCTTCCCAAAAACACATAATAGTTCAATTCCAACCTTCCCAAACTGCAAAACTAAACATAGTTTTGCTCACGTTTGCACTTAAAAAAATATAATTTACTTTACCAAATTGATTTGTTACAGATAATCATCTGCAGTCGTACACACTCACAATTGTCTCAGCTGGTCGGGGAAGTTATCCGCAGTCCCTACAGTGATGTTCGGCTCGTACCTCTAGCATCCAGACAGAGCTACTGCGTTAACAGTGCCGTCAGGAAACTGAACAGCTTGGCTCTCATCAACGAGAAGTAAGAGTGTAATTATTTAGTTGGCATTTACTAGCGATTTATTAAAAAATCAAGTCCTTTACTCAATTTATGTATGTATTAGTGTAGTTAGTGTAGTGAGAGCATTTACCAAACAAACCACAGAATGGTATTTCATAACAAGGAAACACAATACGAAATATTACAAACCATCTGATTTTGTCAAACAGAAACCCATTGTAAACTTTCACTAGATTATTTTTGGTATTTTGAAAGTGAGTTCTCAACAAAAGATAACAATAGATACATGCTATAGGCTTATCTATTTCAGGCTGCCGCCACAACTTCAGGTACATTCTCTACGCTGACCACAGAGCTTATCTTGATATTGACGATATTTTCATTTACTCACAGAAAACTCTACATTACTGGATCAGCGTCGCGGTGCATGTACGGTGCTTTGTAGTTGCCGCTGGTGTGTTTGGTGATCAGCGTTAAATTTGATTCATAACGATTCTTTGAAGAAGACGTATCCAAATATGTTTCAGTCACCATGAAATATGTAGTACAACCAAACTCAAAAAGTTATTGCAGGGCAATTGAATACTCTATATTAAAATTGCTTAAACCCTGCATCAAGTAACTTTATTGGTTGCTGTGGTGCAATTTATTTATTCCTTTAGATTTGGTTGTTAGGTTGCACCCTTTGGCAGTCTTACAAGGAATCAAATGCAATCATTTAATTTAAATGTCGTCAACAAAGTTCAATAAAAGTACAACCAAGAATCAAATACTTAGAATGAGCACACTATTAAACAAAAAGACAAAAAATCACCGACTTGTACACTTGGACTGAGGGAATGCCCCGGACTAGAATTCTATGTGGTCTAAGTCTACGTATTGTTACACTCTACAGTTAGTAGGGAACATTCTATTGATTGATGAACATTCTACCAGGGTAGGAAGGGGTAAAAGAAATGAATGGAACATGCACCAAGCCTACTTATTTTAAGTATGCGTTTTTTTTTACTTTCTAGCCCTAACTTCCCCCCTAGCTACTTTTATCTTCCAAATGGATAGTGACTTGTTACTTTATTTATTCAATATGGTCTTACAATTTGGCTGACTTTTGGGAATTGTTTTTTTTTTTTTTTATGTTCTAATACATATCTTTTTTAGATGTTCAGATCTTCTTAGGGGATCTAAGGGCCACAAAACAAAAGTGGAAGAGGGACTGACGACAAAAAAGTCAAAAGTAGCATCTGGTTGCCTGTTTCTAAGGTAAGCCTAATTAATTTGTTTATAACCAAATTCTTTTTAAATGTTCTACGTTCTATATTAATTTAGAATACAGTACTTTTTCAATAGATATTACCGGATACAGTTTTTAGACCTGTAATAGCCCTACCTCATAGTCATACTTTTTGGTTTTGCAGTCTTGATAACCTGTAAAAAATTACATAGTTTAAAACCATAACGATAGTAAAATATTGTGTATTAATTGAAATAGTTTAGTCATCCTTGTTTATGAAAAGTATCAGTGACATTCAAGTTAAAACTCAAAACTTTGTATCAATTAGGGAGTATCAGTTCTAAGTCTAACAGATATTCTTTTATTCTCACTCCATTGTTGGAAGGAATATTTGATTCAATTCTTACGATAACTTATTTGTTGTAATGTATCAATTTTTTAGTTATTTTTACGTTATTAAATTTTGAATTTTCATTGTATAGTGTATTCTTACCTTTTCATTGTAACAAACAATTAGGCGGTGTTTACTTCCAACTGATGTTCTCATATACTTGTAAATTCTCACTGTAATATATTTAGTGAGGATTTACTCCGAGTCCGAACAACTGTTTATTCTCATGCACAGGTACAAAAATGATAGAATAGACAATCAGTTTCGTTTAGCTGTTTATACTATTCTTTTACTTCTCTACTTAGTTTAATGTTTTTTAAATATCATCCCTATAGTAAATATGTTACCTGGAGAAAATATGCTGACCACTAGATGGATTGTGTATGCATCTAAAACGTTTAAAAAAATGACAGTAGGCCTAATACTTAAAAACGTAAAACCAGTTATATATTTCATGTGAATTTTATAGCTATTTACGTTACAAGTGTAGTAAGAGCGTTTTTGGCTCCATAGAGGTATATTTTATTATGTTGAACACTCAATGTTATTTGAATGGGTTTCATTACTTCACTAAGTGAGTTTTTGGAACTCTACTTCACCGAGTGAAGTAAAGAAGTTGTTTACATCACGCTTGGGATAGGGAAGTTTAACATGGGTTGGGTAAAAGTTATTAAAGTTCAAAACTATTTACATTTAAGCAGCACTTAAATCTTGAGCAGCATTGGTTAGTTTAGAGTTTAGACTGTAACACTTTAAATGGAAATATTACACAATCAATGCATTTAAAAGAGTTTCATTACCAGTAGCTATTGAAATACACATTTTAACAATATTATTGTCAAAGGTCGAGCCAAGCAGTGAATAGGCTGACAGAGGAGGCGTTGGTTAAGGTTCAAGACGTCGAAGCTTTGGTGGAGAAAGGCAAGAAGCATTCTGCGTGTCCATACTACGCCACTAGATCTGCTGTGCCTATGGCTCAAGTATGTAATAATCTGCTGATAAATACCTGCAGCACTGATGTTAAAACTTTGGATTAGTCAATATTTAATACAGTAGACTCCCGATTATCCACAAGTAGGTTAACCATGCTGTGGATTTACCATGATCGCAAAAGATTAAAAATATATTATCCAAGTTAAATGCTGGCATAGTTAATTTTGTACTGAAATATGTTATGAGTAAAATTTTGGACCAGGGTTGCCACCTTTGGTTTAGGGGAAAATCAGGACAGGCCCTACCTCCCAGATAAACACAGACATAAACAAGCAAAAGCACCCAAAGTTGGAACGGTTTTTAACAGATTCTACACACCTCAGTGCAAAAGCATCTGTGTAGTGTTTAATGCTAGAAAATAATGCTTCTGATTTTCTGGGAAACACAGTGTCAACTTTCTGATGCTGAGCAAATCCACTCGGCTATTAAACTAAATAGTTTCAATACTTCCAAAGGACATTGCTTTATAACATTGTATTGTGCAGGTGTTGGTCGTTCCATACAACACTCTACTACACAAGGAGACTAGAGAGGCGTGTGGGCTGCGGCTCCGAGGCAGCGTGGTGATCATAGACGAGGCTCACAACCTGCTAGACGCTATCTCACAAGTCTATAGCGCACAACTCACAGGCCAACAGGCAAGTTACGAGTGGAGAAATATAGCCATATCAAAGATTACTATCACAAAAGATATTTTTTTAAATTTTATGGTCAAATTCTTAGACTTTTCCTATTGCTAAGTGTTTTAACTACACGAGAGGTAAAAAACTCTTCCAGTCTTCAAGTGACTCTAAATCCACATTGAGTTCATTAGTCCGGGGGGCCACCAGTTGACCGACAAGATACTTGGTCGTTTTGCCACTAGACCGTCTTTTTTAATTAAATAGATAAATACTGAAAACCAGTACGTCGACAAGTTATTTCATCGTCAGTACAGTTGACCGGCCTGTAAAACTAAATTATTATATACGAGAAACCAACTTGTCGTCAATCGACCCGGCCGACTTACCACTTGCTCGTCTTTTAGGGGGGGATATGTTGAGCAGCAGTGCTAGCGGCGCGCGCAGCTGTGGAGGGCGCTGTAGGCGTACCAACTTCTGTATCTTGTAGCGGCGGTTTTTATTCCGACGATTTCCAGCTATCACAATGCAGCGGACTAGTGAGGTTTTCTATTACGTGTAATTGTTTATTTCTCAATCGATATTTGTTTATATACAGTATAGTGAATATAAATGTGCCTATATTAATTTACTTCAATTAAATACACGTTTTTTAGCTACTACATTTAAACTATTGAAGAATTACATGAAATCTATTTGTAAAAACTGACTTTGAACATTTCATTACAGCTATGAAAGTGGTGTCAATAGGATAGTTAAATTAGAATTCTCCGCGAACAAAGATAAAATGTTCAGATCATCTTCTATATAATTAATAGTCCAACACGAAATTTGTCGGTTGAACTCCTCCGCCATTTCTTAAACGATTTGATCTATTGACGTCTCATTAGAAAGAGCGTGTTGCGTAGATTTTCAAACTGAACTTACATTTTTTTTTCAAGCCACTTGGGCTCTGCCTTATTGGCTTTTAAAGTTCCCATGTTATCCTTATGAAGAACATATTTGTTTTCATTATTATCAGCTGGGTATTATATTGCTGGTAATATTTAAGATGCAATTCAAAGAAATGCGTCCTACAAAAATTAAATCCTTAAAATTAAATCATTGAAAGGACCCATTTGCCAATTATCTACTACAAACCTCCAAAACCCCAGATTTGTGAGTTTTTTGTCACATTTCCTCTGAATGTTTCATTGATATACCGATCTTAACGTAGATCGGTTTAGAGATTACGTAATATTTTAAATAAGAAACCTTTGGTTGGATAAATGTGGTTTCTTCAAACTGTCATTAATATGTTAACATTAAAAGTTGCTTACAAATAATGCTATTAATGGGAAATAACTTAGATTTTCGACAACTTAAAAAAAAACAAGGGAGATTAATAACTTCGGTACTGATACCACATCAAGTGAAAGATTTTTTGAGCAAACCATCATGAAATTTAAAGCTTTACGTTGTTAACGTATCAATGTTTTGTCCCCTGTGTATTTATTTATTATTTGCCAACGGATTAACACCAATAATACAGTTTGATTAGAAGGGCAGTTTGAATTGGTCGTAAGTACTAATAGTTCTTTTCTTAACTGTAAAGGTTGGTTTTTGGTACTGGTACTTTTTCTTAGAACCTGTGGTAGCAGTAAGAATCATTTTACGTACAAACAATTCACTATTTACAACTTAGTTATCTTTATTGCTGCACCAAATTGCTTTTTAAGTTTAATTGATGTCTTACTGTATATTTTTGGGATTTCTGCCTGGACTCAAAAATGTTAGTTCAGCTATGAAAGTAATAACACATTAGTGAAAGATTTTTTCAGCAAACCATCATGAATTTTTAAAGCTTTACGTTGTTCACGTATCAATGTTTTGTGGGCTGTGTATTTATTTACTTATTTATATATTTGCCAACGGATTCACAACAATTTTACAGTTTGATTAGGCCTAAATACGATTATCATAAAATTTGATGACACTATCAAAACTTTCAAATAATTATTTTGTTTGTAATTTGCTTTAGCTAAAGTGTAGCAAATCACCTAATTCAATTCTGCATTTGTGTGTGTATGTCTGTTGGTAACGCATTAATGTCCTTATTTTTTTGTGTTTCGTGGAAAAGACAAGAGTGCCTTTGTTAATGAAAATTTCACCCCGAATAAAGTGTACAGTAGTGAGGTTGAGGTAGTATTTTAACTACTTTTAACCAGCGTGAAAAGTAACTTCCAAATACAGGCCTGCCTTAGGCTATGCCTCATAGATCTATAAAGCAATTATTTTTATCATTAGATATAAAATAAGGACTAACACGATCGGGTGACAATTTTTTGCGAAGAATTCATTTTGGCTTGAAACTATCAGATATTGTATTTGCGAAGGTTTATAGTTATTCCTATACAAAAATAGTTTTTCCAGCATATCTGGGAAAATGCACTCTAAATATGCAAACAAATTCCTGTTCTGAATATAAGAAGGTTTCAACTTACTACAAGATTCCTGTACGTAGAACGGTACTCTGCTAGTATAAAATAAAATCGCTGTTTGTATAAATAAATGACGTATACAACTGTAATATATCGTTAATCAGAAATGTGTAAACCAGTTTAGAAGTACTGTATATTAAATAAATAGCAGAGCATATATACAATTATAATAAATCACTTATCATTCATTAATTACAAACCTTAAACATACTATAGATTAAAGCAAATTAATTTGTCTCTATAATAATTAAATATATATCCTTATATATAATGCGTGAAGGCGATTTATACGAAACACTACTCCTCCGTTAATAATGGACGGAGTTTTACAAATGATGTGTCAAAATTAAGTATTTTTTATGTAGACGCCCCCTTTCACCAATTCCAGCAATAAAGGTCCTCAGGCTTTGCCCCACAGACCATCTAAATCCCAATGTATTTCTTATGAAGCAAGAATTTCGTTTACTTAAACATATTAATAACTAGCAGAGCACCCGTCCTTCGTACGGGGTTGGTATATAAGTATAAAATGCTTATTGCAGCTATACTTAAGCTTTGAGTTTGCAATGGGGGGAGGACACAGTTTAATAAAATTTACGGTATGATATAGTATAACACATCTACCATTGCCATAATGTTCTACCACTGCACCTAAACAATAGAAAAGATAAATCATCAAACATTCGCACAATATCTCAAATTATTCATTAAATAAAAAAATCAAACCTAACTGTAAACAATCCTATTTTGACTTGACAGTTCTCATTGTGTATCACAGCTTTTTGTTGCTGCTTAGTTCAAATTAGCTGTTGTAGTCATATATGCAAAAACGAAATAATAATAGTGCTGCACCCAGTTGGGAAACCTTATAACTTTGTATTGCTCTTGCATATTATAGAACCAACTTGTAAAGTTGAAACAGCTGACTAAATTCTTTAATTTCCTTTAAATATGAATACTCATAAGGTTAATATGGGGAACTACAGAGCCACTGGGGCGGAGCCCGAAATGATTTTTGAGATAAGAATATGCCTTAATGTTAATAGGAAATGTTAGCTATCATCATGCCAAATTTCAGACCAATCCGTCTAGTAGTTTATGCGTGATTGAGCAACACACAAACACACACAAACTTTCAAATTTATAATATTAGTAAGATTTGTATAAATTGCATACTAACACAGCTGTTCAAAGTAAACACATGATACACACAAGAGCGTTCGTTTTCAGAGTGAGTTTGTTTTCAGTTTCGATAAACGGAGTGGAGTGATTGATTACATTATCTTTGAGCTGACTCTTTTAAGTCATCGGGAAGTATGGATGTTATTAGTTTTGAACTATCGCCTGTAATACTTTACAATAATTGCTCTAATTCGAGCAACAGGTGCACTAGTATATAGTCATAGCAGTAAAATTTTACTAAAAGCGTTATTAAGAGCCATAATTGTTAAAGAAAAATTTAAAAAAATGTAATTTTAAAATTCCCATGTTATTCTTATGGAGAATAAGTAAACTGATGTAATTTCCTGTAAAACAAAAATATTTTTGATAATATTTGGAAATGCATTTATTTTACACCTAACTACGGAGGGACATTTCACAAAAACACTTTTTACCCTGCCTCTTGCAGCAAACCTATGTGTACTCGTTAAACTAATGCTATTTAAATAGGGAATAAATGTAATATTTTTATAGAGATATTATATTTATTTTATCTTATTATTATTATTTTTTATTTTTTTATTTATAGAGATGGTTGTATTTATTTGGTTTTAATGGAAACATTTGCATTGTTTTGTTGATTGAAAATCCGTGTTTTACAGCACAACACTTTTTGAAATCGTTAAATGAATTTACAAATCAACATTTGTGCACTATTTGTTGTGGTTTTTAATATCAGCGTTTACACACAACTAAATAACAGTAGGCCTATATTTTTCAATGTGTCAAGAATACGTGAAAGGTACGATTATTTTCACAAGAGTTTATCTAGTATTTTTAGGGAAGGTCATCTGCCTTCTTCACTTATGATGTTAATCACCTTATGATTATTTTATAATGCGTGCTCAAGAGAGAAGATCATATGTAAGTTCGATCATCCCTACATCCTTACATTAAGGCTAAAAAGTCACAATCATGCAATTGCAGATGAGTTTGTTGCTTTATGTTTTTGGATTATATGTCAAGTGTCAGCGGTTGTAGCGAATTACAAATTGCTTTTAGTGAATTTCCCATACAAGGAATAAGTTATTTATGCTTTTTCGTAGTGAAATGTATGCATAATATCAATGATTAATCATTCTTTTTTACTCGGTATTTCAAAAAAAGCCACTTTTATTTATGTGTCTAAATTCCGCTTGGTGAAAATATTGTAGACAATGTTGACCCACCTGTTTAGGGCCAAAAAGAGAAACAAAAATAAAACATTTTGCTACACCCATTTGACAATAATTGTGATATTTTGAACGGGATAACCTCTGGGTTTGGTACATTCTGTATAAAAAACATTTAAAATATTTTGAAGTTGTAGTTGAGTTT